CACAAGCTTCTAAACATCTGGCTTGGGGTATTCATTTGTTCAACACTCTTCTGGCAAACCTTTTTTTTTTTTTGAGTGTTTATTTTGTCGCAGGAAGTGTTTAGGTACTGCAGCTGCAAACAGCATACTGCAGACAAATCTTCTCTGCCGAGATTTTGTCTGACAAAAATAAGAAGCAGTCTCTCTCAAAGGGTTCTGGAAGGACTGACAGACCAGCAAACATTTTTAGGGTGCAGAGGATATCTCAGTCTCCTGGAGAAGTCAGGGTTTAAAAAAGCACAACCTGTCAAGAAATACAGGCCTTGTCAGCTGACACTAAACTAGGAGAAGGGGAGCTAGGAAGGAGTGAAAAGTTTGTGGATGTTCGAGGAGAGTCTGGCCAAGCCCTGGGGTCTACAGGATTCTGAAAAAGGAAAGTGAGGGACAATCAAGGGAGGCTTCCTGAAGGAGATGAGGTTTGAGCAGAGGCTTCAGAGAAGCAGTGAATGAGTGGGCAAAGAGAAATGAGGTGGGCACCCACCCAAGGGAGGAAGGGTGATAAGTGAATTTGGAAGGGGTAAGGAGGGGTGTTAAGGGAGAACCAGATCCCCTGACTTCAGGGGAAGAGTAAGATGGAAGCAGCCCATGCAGGCCCCTGAATGCCTTGGGAAAAGCTTGTCAGATTGGGGTGACTGATGGTCCGAAACATGCTCACTGGGGGCCAAGCACTTTTCCCACACAATGTGACTTCCAAAGAAACCAACTTATTGGCAAGCAAAGTTATGTGACGTGCCCGAGGTCACTGGGTTGGTGAGGGGCAGAGCCGGGACTGCAGACACAGGCGAGGAAAGCAGGGTGGGTGTGCAGATGGGGCTGGTCTAAACAGTGTGGCTGGGTGGCCCCCGGGAAGCTACTCAACGTCTCTGAACCTCCAGAGCAAGACCACAAGGACCAGTTAACAGTAACCTGGGCCCAGAGTACCCTTCCCACCTGTATGGCCCTAGGGCATCAGCCAAACCCCAGCAAGGCAGGAAAAGGGGAGAAAACAGTCTGTAAGACAAGAAAATCCGGAAGGAAGAGCCACCGGGAGCCAGCAGGCTTCCAGCCTCGAGGGGAGGAGAGGACAAGGCTCAGCACCAGGTGAGGGGGTGGCCACGGCAGAGCACACAGGAGCTGCGACTGTGATCATTGCATCAAACCCACGACCTTTCACCGAACCACCGTAGGCTCCCTGACCCGGAGAATTCGGCCCCCAGCTCTCCCTGTGGGTCCAGCCTGCAGAGCGCAGGGAGCCCCTCCATGGAGCACCCACTGATGCCGCTCTGGGGTCACCCCCCCCACCCCTGGCCCCCTCCCCTGCTTCCCAAAGCCTGGGAGGTCTGCAGAGTCACTGCCAAGGACTGGGGCTAAGACCAGACTGCAACCAGTCCCCCACACCACCCCCGCCCCTGCCAGGAACATGGGCGGCCGCCCCCATGCCTCCCAAGGAGGCAGGTGGCAGAGGACAGCATTGAGGTGGGTACAGGTGACTTCAACACGTCCGAAATTGCCAGTGCAGCAGGAAGTCAAGCGTGAAATTAACTTTAACTCAGAGGCCCCAGCGTGCAGACACAGAGAAATTAAAGTGACAGGGCAAGGTCCTTGGGGAAGGGATAACCTTCCACCTGGTGGCGATTACAGAGGTGGGAGGGGAGGGAGCCTGGGAGGAGGCCCAGTGGGGTGAGCTGGTAAAGCTTTGCACTCTGACGCCTCACCCCAGCCCCAGCCTGATCTGTCTTCTTGTCCTTATCAAGCTATCATTATATCACAGACGTATTTTTTATGATCTGTCTGAGCCACCAGAATAGCAGACCTCCTCATTCACTGCTCTCTCCCCGGGGCCCAGAATGGTGCCTGGCATAGAGCAGGTGTTCCTAAATATCTGCTGAATGAATGAGTGAATGAATGAGGGAGAACTCTCTTGGTCTCTGTTGATGAAGTGAGAAAAATCACAGAACACTTCCTACATGCCTGACACTGAATAACTTTGAGGGATTCATTGAATCTTCAACCCATCTCACAGATGGGGCAACCAAGGCACCAAGAGGGACTGGCCACGCGAGCCAGATGCTTGTGGTCCTCAACCTGCCCCACCCCCAGACTGTGGGCTCACAAAAACCCCATACATCACTTAACGTAAACCTCATCACGAGCCTCCTTTAGCACAGATAATAAACCCAAAACTCGTCACCAGCCCTAGGTGATCTGCCTAGCACCTTCTTCTCCTTCACCTACCCCTGCAGGAAATGCCAGCCTTCTCTGTCATCCCGCCAGCTCAGTACAGCCCCAGGGCCTTTGCAGCGTCTGTTTCCACCTGCCTGTGGCGGGGGGAGGGTCTACATACCGGCTGCTGCTTGGTCTCTGAACGTTCCCTCAGCTGTCAGGCCCTGGCCCCGATCCCCTTGGCTAAAGTCACCCCCCACATTCTCTCCCATCACCCTCTTTGCCATCTTCATAGCATCTTTTTATTTTTGTCTTTGTTATTTTTTTGGCCATGCCACACAGCATGTGGGATCTTAGTTCCCTGACCAGGGATCGAACCCATGCTCTCTGCAGTGGAGTCTTAACCACTGGACCACCAGGGAAGTCCCTTCATTGTATTTTTTTAAAGTAAATGACCGCACTGATTTAATCATGACCACACTGAAACTAAAATTATAGAAGCGATTATGATTTCAGTGGCAAACTATGGGGAAAAAAAATTAAAATTCTAAGAAGAGAGCAATTCAAATAACTTGCTTACAGATATATTTTTTTAATATGAAACAGACCACTTTATCACCAAAGAAATCTCAAAATTATTTATCTCAATGTTTTAAACTTAAACATATTCATCTGTGACTTAGATTTGGAGTAAATTTCACTGGGCAGTTACCTACTTAGCCAAAATGTACTCTAGTAGAGGAGAACTGTCCTCTGATGAAGATTATAGGATATAAAAATTGGGCACTGGTTTTAGTAAACTCATAGTTTTATTTTACTTATATGTAGCAGTGTCTTATCAGTTAGTATTATTTGTATGGATATCTTTTGCCTTTGTTGTTTGGATCCTATGGCCATTTTTATAACCTGAAATCATCCACGCTATTCAGCCTAAAGTATTACTCATTTGTAGTCTAGTGAAAAAAATGTATGCAAGACTTCTAGAGTAATAATACTGCTATCAAAAATTGTTATGTTGAAAGGAAAAATACAACTCGGTATATTAAAGCATAAAGAGCTTAAGACAGCTATGTGACCGCAGTACTTTTTATTTGCTGATATTTTCTCATTTACTTAACTTGTTTTCTGCCTCCACTGCTAGACAAAGCTTAATGAAAGTATGGGGAACTTTGTCTTGTACACAGTAAAACCCCAGGTCCTAGAACAGGGTCTGGCACATAGTGAGTATAATAAATGTGTATAGAATGATTGAATGTTTCCAGCAGGGGTCTGCCCAGCTGAGAACATGCCACATTCATCCCCTAAACCAGCCATGAGAGGCCCTAAAGGGCCCCATGCCCTCACCCAAACTCCATATAGGGCTCCCCTACCCCCAGCAGTGGCTCCAGGAAGGTCCTGGGAAGCTTTATAAAGGACTAATGTGGTCTGAATGGAAAATAAACCATGTAGTGTTGAGAGGGATTTGGTACCTGAGCAGTGAACACATTCTCAAGGCCAAACAAAAGCACAGGCCACATAGGACACGGAAAACCCAGGGATACCCCAATGCTCCCCTGGACAGGACACCCCACAGCCCCTGCAGGCAGCAATGAAGGTGAGGCGGGTACTCCCAAGCCCAAATAAGCCAAGGACCTTGATGGCAACAAGAGATTTTTCTAGGTTGCTTCATCAGCCACTGGGAGCTGCAAGGGGGGTGGCCCTGTTGGGTCACCAAAGCCTAGACTAGTCATGTGGGTCCAAACACTACAAGAGGAGGGACCTCCCCAACAACGAGTCCAGCACCAGCAGATACTTGAAAACCATCAGGTTTTCATGCCCCCAGGGATGGGAAGCTTACTGCCGCACACACACCCAGAAACTCCACCCCAAGGAAGTTCGGACAGTCAGACCGAATTGGACTGCCCATTGAACCAGCTAAGCACCGCCCTCCTGAGGTCACACAAAAATGAACCTTGAACAGTTCAAAGACTGTGATCCCAAAAGACCTACCTATAACCTAACATCCCTGGAGTGTTCACAGCCACATGTTCTTCAACAGGCTGACCTTTCAGACTCCTGGATAACGACATGAGGTAATATCCCCTCCTCAGCCAAGGAGGCTATGCTCCTACTAACGCATCCCCAGAAAAAAGCCAGCCTCTTTCTGACAGCCACAATTCCTCAACGCCTGGTGCCCAACTTGAACACATAAAGACACTGGCCACCAGCCCCGTCCTGGTGCCCCTGGTCTGCCAGCTCGGCCATGCCAACTGCGCATGGCACTTCACTGATTCTTTTCCACTTCTAGTGTTTATCTGGGAAAAGGCCCCTTCACTGGGCTATATCATACTGGCCATTCCAAAGCCTCTAAGTCTGGGTGAGTGCTCCCACACTGGGCTGTGTCACAGATGGACCCTCTGTGCAGACCACAGATAGTCCTAACTATGCTTACATCGTAGCTCAAAGCATAGGGTCCCTGCTTACTCCACGGACACCCCCACGAGCACACATTCCTCCTCCTGGTAACAGCTTCCTTCAGCTCAAACAGGAGGAGGACCTCCACCTCTGTCTCTCAGAAGCTATGCATGCAGCTTGCCCACCCTCCCAAACCACGGTCTGTCTCCCAAAGCTTCATGGGGCCACTTCCTTGGCCCCTTACCACCTCTGCCTCTCCATCCAAGGCCCTGCCTGGCCCAGAATTCCTGCCCGAATCACCCCCTTCTGTCCCCTCCTCCAGCACTCGGCCCTGGCTGGGAGCCCCAATGGGAACTGAGAACCCACATCCCATCCCGGGCCCCCCACGCCACTGCGCGTCTGCACGGCTGCCCTCAGGTACTCACATTTTGATGTTCTCATGATACTGCCTGGTGTCGGAGGGCTGGTTGTACAATGGCTGCAGGAAAACAGAGAGGGAGGCAGGTCAGAGCCGGGCCAGGACTGTGGGCAGCTGGCGCGGGCTGGGCTGGCCACTGCCCTGTTGCGGCGCCCCAGGCCCTGGCATCAGGGAGCTGTCCACTGGTGTGAGAACCAGCCGCCGGCAGGCATGAAACGGAACATGGGGACCCAGCCCACAGCCCCAGCCAGGAACAGACTGTGACCCTCTGGGCGCAGCGATGGGTACTATGACCCCCTCCCCCAGGGCTGCCATGGCTGCCCTGCAGGACACAGGGCAGTGCTGGCATGAGCACCCAAGGACAAGAACACACATCTCAGGTGAGCTGAGATCAGCAATGGTCTTGAACAGAGAAAACTGTCCGAGCACGAGCTACCCTGTCACCACCAGCGACTGGCAGAAGAGAAAACAGCCCAACAGTGCCAAGGGTTGGCAAAGACGTGGGGAGATAGGAAGGCGTGCATACAGCCGTTGGAAACATACACAGGTATCTGTGCCCCACAGATGTGAAGGCAGGTGTGCCCGAGGACCCCCTCCCCTCCTGCAGGTGCCCTGGAAACAGTCAGGCACTGTGTCCCACCAGGAGATGGACCCCAGAATGCCCGGAAGGCACTGTTCATAACAGCAACACGTTAGAAGCAAGCCAGGACTTCCTTGGCGGTCAAGTGGTTCAGACTCCACGCTTCCAATGCAGGGGGCACGGGTTCAATCCCTAGTCAGTGAACTAAGATCCTACACGCTGCACGGTACAGCCAAAGATGTTTTAAAAAGAAGCAAGCTAAGTATCCACCTTCAGAAAAAGGAATAAGGAAGTAAGGACTCGTTTACACCTCGAAGGCTACACAGCAGTGAGAAATGAATGAACTGGGTCCACATACAGCAACAACAACAACTGTGCAAATCAAAAGGAGAAGTTGCTGCAGTGTCTGCGATGGGGCAAGAGCTGAGCTAGATGCTTGTGTTCTCTCTCCTGGACGGCAGGGCTGCAGTTAAAGGCTAACCCCCCGGGCTCACATCCCGGCTCTGGCATCTTCCAGCTGTATGTCTCTGGGGGAGTGACTTCAGCCCATCTGTGCCCCAGGTTTTCATCCATAAATGGGGTTAAGCTCGGAGAGTTGTTGTGAAGATCCAACGAGATAATGAATGCAAAACTCTCAGCCATGCCTAGAAGACTGAGAGGCCCAAGAAGTATCAGGGTGCAGTGACTATATTCATGGAAGCAATTTTTCCTGCCCACCTTGTATCCATCCACACCCAATGTTTTGTTTTTCTGTTTGTTCATTAGTCGCCCAGTCGTGTCTGACTCTTTGCAACCCCATGAATTGTCGACTGCCAGGCTCCTCTGTCCATGGAATTTTCTGGGCAAGAATACTAGAGTGGGTTGCCATGCCCTCCTCCAGGGGATCTTCCCAACCCAGGAATCAAACCTGGGCCTCCTGCATTGCAGGCAGATTCTTTACCGACTAAGCCACCAGGGAAGCCCCAATGAGACATATGCAAACTGAAAGCAGATGAAGCCTTTCTCCTCTTTCTTCCTCTCTTGTTCGCCTGCTCCCCCTGCCCCTCACCATCAAGAAACCAAGTGTAGCCTGGCCTGCTGGAGGCAAGAAGCCAGTATGGAGGACAGCAGTACTAGCCAAAAACCTAGAACCATCCAAGCCAAACGCTAGAACCACCAGCTGATTTTCCAGCTGCCCACAGATGTGAGTGGGCTGAGCCCACATCAAGAGAAATTGCTCAGCTGACTTCTATACTTGTGGGAAATATCAACCTGTTGTTTAAATTTGGGGCCAGTTTGTTACACAGCAGTTACTGACTGATACAATTACCATCCCCATTTTACAGATGAGAAAACCGAGTCTCTCTGAGAGATTAAAACATATGCCTCTGGCTGGAAAGAGATGAGCTGATACCTGACTCCCACCTCTCGGCTCCAGCCCTAGAGGGAGGGGTTTACCCTTCTCTGCCTGCACCCTCCTCTGTGCGTCTCCTCCTGCATGTCTGTGCATCTCTCTTTGTGTTGGCCTCTCTTCCTATCTCTCTAACCTCCTTCCCTCTCTCTGTCTCACACACCCACACAGGCAGCCATGGATGACGGTGGTACAAGACTCAAGTACAGAGGGTGATGGGTCAGGCTGGGCAGGTGACAATGGTGATGTGGTGTCCTGAAGCCTTGGGGTAGGGCCCTAAGGTGAAGGATGATGGCATATCAGGCCCTGCCCTTGAACCGGCCCCTGAAGATGGAGCTGAACACACCTCCTGATGTCATCCCAGCTGATGGGGACCACCCCCAAGCAGCATGGCCCAGGTCCAACCTGTCATTTCCCCAGAGACAGGTCTCCTGCCCTCCATGGACAGCCTTGACTGAGGACAATTCACCATTCCTCAGGCAATTCCAGGCCCCAAGCTCAGCCACTCCTCGCAGGATGGAGACGTTGCCCCATGGCTGGCACAGGCCATCTCCCCCCACACTGGGTCAGCTGCTCTTCCAGGTGCTTGGCTCTAATCAAGAAGGTTTCCCTACCCCAACTCTGTGTATCTGAACAGCAGGGCAGCAGGAGAGACCACAGCCAGACTCAGTGCAGAACTTCCCAACCAGAGAAGGTTAACACCTGACAGCCCACATCTCAGGACGGCAAGGAGTCCTACAAAGATGCCTGTGCTTAATTCCAGAGCATTAAATGCTGTGCTTAATCGCAGGTGACTCTGCATCAGGTCTTTTATGTTCGCCACAAGCTAATAAAACACAAGCTTGGCGGGAGTGGGCATGCCTTACATGTTCACTTTGGGGAGAAGATGGGTCCCAATTTAAGTGATGGCGCTCCTGTTGCTAACTGTCAGCTTATGCCTTCAACAATCAGGGCCTCAGCATCTTCATCTGGAAAATGGGCGTAAAGCAAACAGGAACTACCTTATAGGGCTTTCGAGAAGCCCAGGAAGTGTCAGATTTGGCGATTCAACTGCCTTTTGCTTTTACAGATGGCAGTCTCCACAGTCTAAGGAGGCCTGAAGGACAACATAGAGAGACCCCAGGTGCCAGTGATGGGCTGGGGGTGAGAGGCAGGGGGGTGGCCCGTTTCTACAAGGTGGGATGGGCCAGAAAAGAGGAGACAGACTTCCGGGAGGGCAGTGGGGTCCCAGCCCGCCTCTGACCTGCCAAACCCGCAGGGGAGGGATCACTTTCACCCTCCAGCCCTGCTGGATAAGACAAGGACACAGCACTCTGCCCCTCCAGGTGGGCTTCAGCAAGAGGTCAAGAAAAGTCAGAGAACACGGTGGGGTGTGCTGCTTCTGACCAGAGGGGCTGTCCTCCAAGGAGGCACACTCACTGGGCACTCTGAGATAAACAGACCTGGGCAGGAAGGAAACATTCTGGCCTCAGGAGGCTATTCGTTGCCCTGTCGTGGGAGTGAGGAAGGATCACAAGGCAACTTTGGCTGGTACACTGCTGGGGGTGGGGGGGCAGGGCCAGAGGTGGGGGTTCCCCCCAGGGCCCCTCCTCATCACCTACAGGGGGCTGCACAAGGCCAGGCAAGACCCACTTCTGTCCTGGGAGGCGTGGTCTTCAGCCTTGTCCATGAGGCCACCTTGGCCTTCACACCCACAGCAGCTTTCTCTGCTACCGCCCAGGTTTCACCTGTTGCCCGGGCGACCCAAGACCAAAGAGGTGGGACTTTTCCTGGTGGTTCGGTGGTTAAGAATCCGCCTGCCAGTGCAGGAGACACAGGTTCAATCCCTGGTCGGGGAAGATTCCACAGGCGGAGCAACTAAGCCCACTTGCCACAACTACTGAGGCCCGCGCGCCTAGAGTCAGTGCTCCGCAACAAGAGACGCCAGCGCTGTGAGAAGCCCACGCATCGCAACTAGAGAAAGGCTGCCTGCAACAACAAATACCCAACACAGCCAAGAATAATAATAATAAACTTAACAACAACAAAAAAGATTTAGGAGGGGAAATCCCTGGCCCGGACCCCAGAGAAGCGAGGCAGGGCGGGAGCTGGGGAGCGGCGGGGATACCGATAGGAAGGCCCACCCCCTCCATGCCTGCATTTCCTCCTCTAGAAATGGGGGCACAGCTGAGTCAGGAGGGAGAAAGAGAGCACACAGCGGAGGATGTGCCAGACTGGAAGGCCTGGGACAGAAATGACTAAGAAAGAGGAGCTAGGTCTTGGGGAGAAGGAAGGGGCTCCCCCTGAGGCCTGAGGGCAGGCAGCCGGCGGGTGGCCAAGAAGAACCAGGTGGACGAGGTGCTAGAAACGAAGTGTCAGCGCTGGCCCTCGGTCCTCTGGTGACACCGCATTCTTAAAATAACACCTCTGAACAGGAAGGAAACCAGTGACTCAGAGCAGTATGGAGAGGAGGTGGGGGCTGGGCTGCCCCTTCCTCTGGGCCAGGCCTGGTCCCCAGGGCTCAGGGGTGGAGGGCCGAGCCTGCACGGCCCCGTTCGGAGCTGCCCGCGCTATTATCTCTCTTGCCCACGCACGTTTCTGCAGGGCCCAGGACTCCCCCCAGGTCACTGTCTTCCTCAGCTGGCTGCACCCTGGCTGCAGATGGGAGAGACCCCCGGGGAACTGGACTCCCCAGTGGTGCTACCCAGTGACCTGAGACCCGGGGTCAGCAGCACCAGGCCCCCCTTCCCAGCCTGAGACAGGACTCCTGCTTGGCACGAAGCAGCTCTCTGCAAAGCGTGTTCCTCTGAGCTGCCTCTGCTTGGAGGATACCTCTGGCCACTTGGGCCTTGTGGTACCCAAGACAGAGGGCAGACCTGTGAGGAATTGGCTGGGCTCAGCACACCTCCCCACCTCATCTCTTGCTGTGTGACCCTGGGCAAGGCACTGCCCTCTCTGAGCCTCACCTAGAGAATGGATGGTGACATCTCCACAAGGCCTGACAAGGTAGGTGCTCTGTCAGCGTGAGTCCCCTCTCCAGTCCCCCTGAAGGCCACCGAGTCAAGAGCCTCTGGACTTCAAAAGGACTCCAGTGACAGCCACACAGCTCCCCCAGTCACTCCAGACCTCCGCCTCCTGTGCCACCAGCCTTGAGGGAGCCTCCTCTCTGAGAACCCCAAGCAGAGGACAACGTCCTCAACCCCAAAGACCCAGGAAAGAATCACCAAGACTGTGAGCCCCACAGACACCCTGCTGTTCTCCGCGGAATTCCTCAGGCCTCCCGACCCAGGGATCTCCCTTTAGGCTCACCCTGCCTACTCAGGAGACCCCGGGAGTAATTAAGTCAGGAGGGAAAGGAAGGGCCTCCAGGTCTAGAAATGGTTGAGGGGCCAAATCTAGTCCTGGAGCCCCCCTGGCAAGAAAAGGGGAACCAAGGTGAGCAGCGGCTGACTGGTGGGGATGGAAAATGGTGGAGTGATGGATTGAAAAATCATCTGGCAATTAATTCCTCAAGAGGTTAAACACAGAATGAATACGATCCAGCTGGGTGGATGAGACAGTAAAGAAGCTGCCTGCAATGCGGGAGACCCAGGTTCGATCCCTGGGTCGGAAAGATCCCCTGGAGAAGGGAATGGCAACCCACTCCAGTATTCTTGCCTGGGGAATCCCATGGACACAGGAGCCTGTCAGCTACAGTCCATGGGGTCGCAGAGAGCCGGACATGACTGAGGGACTAACACTTTCACTTTCAGCAGGTCCAGGCTTAGATATCCACCCAAGAGAAAGGGAAACACACATCCACACGGAAATCTGTATGTTCATGTTCACAGCGATTCATTTATAATGGCCAAAAGCAAAACCAACCTAAAGGCCCATCAATGGCTAAATGGATAAACTAAATGTGGTCCATCCATACAATGGAATACAATTCAGCCATAAAAAGGAATGAGGCAACCAAGACACAAGCAACCACTTAAGAACAGGAAGCTGAGTGAGAGAAGCCAGGCACAAAAGGCCACGTGTTGTCTGATTCCACTGATATGAAATGTTCAGAACAGGCAAATCCATAGAGACAGAAAGCGGATTGGTGGTTGGGGGGGGAGAGGTAGGAGGCGAGGAGGGGGGAAGATAAGGAGGTGATAGTTCAGGGAACAGAGTTCTTTCTGAGAGGGTGAAATGTTCTCAAGTCAATTGTGGAGACGCTCACACACATCTGCTAACATGCTAAAAACCACTGAATTGTACTCTTTAAATGGGAGAATTGTATGGCGTGTGGATTACGTCTCAATAAAGCTACTTAAAAGCTTTTTTAAAAAGAGGCTGTGAGAGACATCTCAGAAAGCATGCCCAACGGGAAGCAAGAGCTCAGGCTGGGAGCCTGTCACCCATTGCAGGAGGAGTACTGGGCCCTGTCCTTGAGCCATAGGAGCCCTTACCCCCACCCAACTCCCTGTCTGGCTCTGCCCCCTGCAAGGACCTGGGGACAGGAAGAGGCCAGCTGCTCACAGCTCCACAGGAGCCCATCAGCAGCCGGCCCCCCAGGCTGAGGAGCAGCTGTCACTGCAGAAAAAACTCCAGGGACAGCAGTTCCACCCTCTGAGGCAATCACAATGCCGAGTGCCCGCCGTGGGCCAGGTGCTGTGCCAGCGAGCCTTTTCTGCACACGACTTCATTGGTCCCTCATCAAGATCCATAGCGTCCCCATTTCACAGATGAGAAGACTGAGTCCTTTTCCCAAAGCCACGCGGCAAACACGGGGTGGGGCCAGATTTAAAATTAGGCTCCAGATGCATAAAACTTTATCTCTGCCCCCCAGCCAGTACACACACACAGAGACCTTCACACCATCCAGCAGGCGTGTCCCTCGGGCTGCCCCCACATCTCTGCACCCACCCACGCCATGGGACACTGGTCCTGGGCAGGCAGGAGCTCTGGTCATCTCTCCCAAGACTCCAAGCCACCAGCCAGGAGTCTCCACGCTCCCGTGCTTCCTATCCTTGGTGACACAGAGGGTGACAGGTGCCTGAGAAAGAAGAGGCCTGGGGTCTGCTTCTAGGCTCTGCTGCCGACCTGGCATCTTCCCATCAGCAAAATGACACTGACAGTGGTAATACTAACAACAACTAACACTCCACCCTTACTGTCTAAGGGGTGGTGTGTTCAGGGACTGACAAAAAGGTGTGTGGCTCATCTTCACTAATGGGTCTGTGCTATTATTCATCCTAGTTTACAGGTGAGGAAACAGGGCACAGAGAGGTTAAGACACCTGCTCAGGTCACACAGCTATGAAGTAACAGACCTGGGAGTTGGACCCAGATCACCTGGCCCAGAGCACGGGCTTTCCGTGATCAGCCAGACCACACGGGCTGGACTCCAACTTATCAATCTTGCAGCTTGACTGGCCGGGCTTGGGAGCAAAGCCGGAGGACTATACACACCCCCACCTCGCCCCCAGCACGGCCCAGCCCACCTGCCCACTGTTATCTGCCTGTCCCTCTTATCAGAGGGTGGATTTCCTGCCTCCTCCAGAGGACAGGGCAGCGCTTGGCAACAGACAACTTCCTCCTTGCCTCCACACCCACCTGCCGCCCTGTCCACCTCTCCAGCTACCCCCCCGCTTCCCAGAGCACCCCACCCTGTTCCCCAGCTCACCAGCTCCACCTGGGGCCCCAGGCCTTCCAGAATCCGATGTGCAGCCTCGGCCTTCTTCTGCAGGGGGGCGGAGAAGAGGAAGAATTAAAAAAAAAAATAGACACCCAACGCGCGCACACATACACACACACACACACACACACACACAGAGAGAGAGAGAGAGAACAGATTATAAATAGAGGCCTCCTCCTGGAACACCAAGCAGCTGCCCAGTCCAGCACGCCCATCCAGGCCCCAGGGGCGGGGGTGGGGGGTGGGGAAGGTCCAGGAGGCGGGGGAGAGAGGGTGAGATAGAGGCGTGGGGAAGATACCCTTTCTAGGATTCTTCTATTTCACAATCATGTGACTATTTCTGAGCTGCCCTGGGGCCTCCCTGCCTCCCTCCCCACTGACAACTCGGGACTTATTAGGAAAACAGGAACATACGGCAGAAGGGGCTAGGTGACTGCGAATTCAACAGGCTGAACCCTGACCATAAAGGTAGACATTATGTCCGGGCCAGGGCCCCAGTTCTGGGACCACAGGGCCTGCTTGGCTGGGCCAGCTGGAGGATGGGGTGAGCACAGAGCTGGGAAAGGTGGCTTCGGGGGGGTGTCTCTATCAGATGGAAAGCGGGGTGCCCACAGCGCACACATGGGAGATCTGAGACCCTCCCGTGACCCAGGACAGGCTGGGTGCTCATGACTCAGCCCAACTCAGGGAGACCAGCCAGGACTCGGCGTGGACTGGGAGGACAGGCCAAGCAACGCACCATCATTAGATCAAAAGCTTCCCCCAGTGATCCCCAATCCAGACCCACCAAACAGGAGTGACCCAGAGCCCTGGAGGACACGGCTGACAACAGAATTGTAGGCCCAGGTGTCACAGCAGGGAGGAGGCGTGTTGAGGGCCAGCCTCACCCCTCCCCCAGCCCCGGTGACAGAGGGCAAGAATGTAGGTGGGCTCAAGCTGGCACCGAGGATGGCTCTGCCTAGAGCCCTGGGCCCAGCCCACCCAAGAGCAAGCCATGATCTCGGCCCCCTTTGTGCAAAGCCAGAACCCTGAGAGCAGCAGCCTCAGAGTGTGGCTGGGGGCCAGAAAATCTTGTGGGTGGGAGGTGGTGGGTGCAGATGATTATCATTAATGAAAGCCATTTCATTGAGAACCTACTATGAGTCAAGCACTGGGTACACAGCATGCATTATTAGTATTTGAATCACACATAACATGGAGTCAGGGAGATAGAAGTATCCCCATTTTACAGATGATGACACTGAGGCCCAGGAAAATAGTATAAGAAGTCTTTCTTCTGATCTCTAGGCTCCAAGAAGGGAGAAAGACAAGAGCCAGTCCTATCCAGGGCCTCCACTAGACTTAGGTCCCGCATCTTCTTTGAGTTGTGGCAGGTACCAGTCTGGCAGTCACCGCAGACCACCTCAGCCCTGGTCACGTCACAAAGCCAGAAACTGTTAGCCATGGGGGACCAAAGATGGAAGAATTCCCTAGCTGGACCAGAAGGACTGGGTATAGGGTGGCAAGAGGACAGGGTAGCTTCCCCAAACATTTGAGCAGCCACTCTGTATTAAGCACCACAGCATGAAACAAAACAAATAATAATTGATCTCTATCTGCAATAAAGCGAGGCTAGTGGGCAGTTAGTCATGAGCAGTGATGGCAGGTTAGTACGCTCAGGCAGGAAAGGCACGTGAGGTGTATGAGGGAATCATTAAGTGGGTCAGAGTCACTCTCTCCAGAAAGGTAAAAGGAGGGATACACAGTCGGGTTTTGAGGAATGAATAGGAGTTTGCGTGTGTTCATGAGGCTCTGTGGAGATGGGCAACTGCCCATTGGGACAAAGAGGTGATATCAAACACAGGAAGCGCAGGGCTGGAGTGAGTGGACACGAGAACTGCCACATCATATCCCTGGGCCCGGGTCTCAGGCCCGGGACCCATGCAGGGCCTCAGGAAGCCTGTGTCCGATGAACCACGGAGGATACCGTCTTCTACCATATCCTCACTGTCTCGGGAACACAAGTACCTGGGGAGGGGCCTTCCTGCAGCCCCTGCGGAGGAGAGCAGGGAGGAGACCCTTCCTGACCTTCCAAAGCCACAGGGAGCCCAGGTGACGGGGCACAGCCCAGGGCAGCCAACTCTCCCGTCACAGAGCCGGTGTGAGAGCACCTTTGCTCCCTAACAGGCCTTCCCCCAGGCTCTGCGCTGAAGCCCTGAGCAGCCCCGGGGCCTTTTTAAGACAACTCAGTTTCCAAAAGGTCATGCAAGGGGGAAGATAAAAAACAACCTGTCATGGGGCAGTCCTAAAGATGCAGCAACGCTGGAACACAGGACAGCAGGGTGGTCGAGAGCAAGGCTACCGGGTAGCCAGACTGGGCTCTGACCCACGTGCTGGCTGTGTGGTCCCGGACAAGTCCCTTCAGCACCTCCGAGCCTCAGTTTGCTCATCTACAAAATGGGGACAAGAGCAGCACCACCCCACACAGCTGCTGAGAGACTTAAATGAATCGACACACATTCCAAGCTAAAATCAGAGCTAAAATCAGGATCTGGCATGTGGGGAGCACTAGGTAAGGGCTAGCTGTTATTATGGCTACCAACAATAACGACAAGGCCACGGCTCACACCAGGTGACCCCCTATCCGTGCCAGGCCTGGATCCCTTGTAAGCCCTGTCCATTTGGATTCCTGCAGGTGCTCATGGTGGAAGCTTCTAGCATCAGCCCCAATTACACACAAGGAAGCCGAGGCTGGGGTCACCCAGCTAAAGCAGCCGATGAAGGTTGGGACAGGCAGGCCCTGAACTGGCACCCCCACCTCCTCACGTCTTCCCGGGGGCGCTTCTTCCACCTCATGCTACACATCCCGGCTCCCAGCCTCTCTGGCCCAGTTTGCAGGGGCGGGGCAGTGGGGGCAGTGGGGAGAGGGTGCCATTGGGAATTTGCTAGATAGTTTCCAGCGAGCTGGGGCGGTCAGGATGGGGGTGGATGTCCTGCCTACCGGGCCCCTCCCCCAGGCGGGGTCCATCAGGGACCCACATCTGGGAGTCTGCTCTGCTTTAACCCTCAGCAAGTCACTTCAGCCCTACATGTGCTGACTCAAACACATGTGCATCCACACGGAGACATCCCACTCGAACACACACACGTGCACAGACACACAAATGCATAGGAATCACACGCCTCACACATGCTGAGTCACACAAAGGCGCGCACACGCACACACACAGCCCTCAGCAGGTCTGCCCACGTAAACAGACACATACCTGTGTGGGGTACAAGTGCACACGCGCCCTCCGCAAGATGGCTCCAACACACAATTTGCACACATGAAAACAACTGTCCACTATTCCACATGTACTCACACACATGCACACATGAACTGCTCCCCGCAAACACACACAGTTCCAGTTCCTGAGCAGGAGGGCCAGAGCCGCACCCTGCCCAGACCCCTAGCAGCGTTTCAGGGGAGCAGTTACCCCTCCCCCCAGGCTCAGCTTCCTCATCTGTAGCTGCAGCCTAAAGACCCCGTCCAGAGCCCTTCCAGGTGCGGGATGGAAGTGACCGAGTGCTGAGGCAGAATTCATGGGCTCGTGTTAACAAACTCAAGAGCAGAGCAGTCTCTACGTGCACAGGAATCTGGAGGAAGCCTTGGACTCCAGGGCTAGTTATGATGAAGAGACAGAGGCAGAGGCGGGGCTCAGCCTGGGACGCCCCTATCACAACTCGAGTGGGCAGGGAGTCTGAAGCTGGGCATTGGGGTGCCTGGACCCCCAAAATGCTCTACAAAATGCTTCACATTCTTGGTTATTACCGATAGAAGTATTCATCTTTGTCCGGCTTAGTCCTAACCACACTGTATATACACTTTACTAGGAAGATGCTTAAAAACTAAGACAAAAAAGGACTTGGTTCTTACTCTCTGATTTCCTCCTCATCCCTTAGCAATCAGAGGGCCCTGCCTCCGTGAATTCTGCCTCCTCACCATCTTCGGAACAGGCTGTCATCCTCTCCACTGGAAGTATCCTTCTACCTTTTCCCAGCGGTGCCCATTTGTGCAGACCTAGCTCCAGTCACCTCCAGGAAGTCTGCCTGGATTGCCCACTGCCCTGAACTTCTACAGTGCCTGCACCATGCAAATTGTCCCTTATTTGTATAAGGATGTGTAAACATCCTTCACTAGTGCTCTGTGTGTGTTTGTTGTACCCAAACTCAAAGTGTGAGCCTCTTCCCACACCCGCCAGACCTCTACCTCCCACCCCTACACATTCCCTTTGAAGATCAAACGAGAGCCCGTCCTCTCTGTGAGCTTCCACCTGTGCTGCAGCCCCCACAGAAGGCCCTCCTCGGGTCAATGGCCCACCCACTGCTTCCAAGAAGCCGTTTCCAATCCCAGCCCTGCCCGCCCTGCCCACCCTGCCCGTTCCTGCCCCTTGGGGCCTGCAGCAACCCTGCCTCCTGCTCTGCCATCTGTGTGCACCTGCCCAGCCCCGCCCACACAAGCAGCTTCTCCCATGTATGCTGGCGCCTGGTCCATGTGCCCCGAATGGATAATGAACCTGAGTCCAGCCAGCAGAAGAGCCAGGCAGGCTCTGCCCAGCAGGAAGCCGCGTTTTCCAGACGGCATGGCATTTAGAGATAGACCCTTGTGTCCGCCTCTCAGAGGAACCCGCAGAGAAGGAAGGAGGATTAAAATTTAATCTGACTGATCCCCCAAGGGGCAGTAAGTCCTGACTGCTCCTGCCCACCCGGCCTCCAGCCCCTGAGGCTTGGCCCAGGTAGGGGGACCCCCACCGACCTCCACTGGGGACACAGGCCAGTCCCACCCAAAACTAGAGGACTCTTTGGGGGGAGAGTCTCCCACCTCTCTGGCATTCATTCATCTGTTCAACAGATACTTAATAAGCACCTACTGTGTGCCAGGCACTGGAGATACAGCTGAGAAAAAAAGAATCCTCGCCCTCATGGAGCCTTTATTCACAATAAACAAACAAAATATAAATTATGTCCAGTGGGGACAATTAAAGCCAGGGAGAGGAGCTGCTGAAGGGTTTTCAGGATTAAACAGAGGGTCAAAATGGACCTTGGCCCGAAAAGGGGACATTTGAGCAAACAGCTGAAGGAGTGAGAGCAAGACAGCCCAACAGGGAAAAAGGAGCTCCAGGCAGAGGACGCAGTCAGTGCAAAGGCCCTGAGGCAGAAGCATGCCTGAGTGTTCAAGGAAGTACAAGGGTCATGAGGCTGGGGCAAGGGATGGGGGTAGATGAAAGGAAAGAAAGAGGGACTGGAACAAGGCGGGGCAAATTCTTCAGACCCATGGTGTGCCTGGGGGGAGTGGTTTGAGTGTGGTTATATCTCCTCCATCAGAAGGCCACTGTGAGTGGGCAGGGGGCCAGGGTCCCTGCTGCGCCCCCAGTGCCTGGAACAGTGGCAGGCCCAGAGCAGATGTTCAGTTACACAGCTGTTGAATGAGTGAATAAATGAATGAATGAACAGGACAGTGTGATGCATCCAGAGCACCTGAACTGGCCAGGCAGGGGATTGCTCTCAGAAGCTCAGGATCTAGGGTTTGAGTCCCAGTCTGCCACTTACTACCTTTAAGGCCTTGGGAAAATTACCCAGTTTCTGTTTCCTCGTCTGAAAATATGGGGTGGGTGCTGGGGGAAGGCCAGTATCTTTCACTTACTGTCAGGACCCCATCAAGATGAAATCAGCATAAATAGGCATAAAGTCCCCAGCCTCAGGTGCTGTTGGGGTGAAGAGAGGACAATACCACCCGAAGATCAGGGAGGGTGACAGCTCCAGGAGCTCTGCCTTTGCCCCCTCTGCCACAGGCTCCTGGAGCCAATTCATTCTTGGCTCTGATCCCCAGCCTCAAAACTCACTTGCTGTGCAACCTCAGGTAGGTCACTTTCCTTCTCTGAGCCATGGTTTCTTTATGAGTAAAACAGAATAATAGTACCTATCTTATACAGGTCTGGAGAGGATTCAGTGATATCATGCAAAATGTAAACAATAACAAGAAGAGAAGAACAATGAAGATAACAATTAATAGCACCAGCTTAGCACCTACGTGATGGCAGGCACTGTTCCAACGATGCTACACAATGAACTTATTTAATCTCCACACCCTGGTACAAGGTAGGTGCTATAATTATCATCATTTCACTGGTGAGGGAGATGGGTTACAGGGAGGCTTAAGGAATATGCCCAAGGTCACAGAGCCAGAAAATGGTAGAGATGGGATCTGAACCTAGGACATCTGGCTAAAGTACACACAGTTCCTTTAGTTCTCCTATCACTGTGATCGTTACTGGTGTTAATTGGGTAGGAAGCCAGGGTGTGAGAGGTGACCAGCCCTGACAGGCCCGGCACATAGTTTCCAGGCTCCCAGCAAGTTCAGTCTCATCCTGCATCTATTGTAGCTTCAAGAGGTGATGGCATAGCCATACCAGTTGATCCAATAGTTTCCTGCCTGGAGCTATAGCCACAGGCACCAACCACATGTTCCCAGGCTCTAGAGTTAACTATCCAGGCCATGGGACACCATGGACTCTCCAGCCCCTGCCTGGACTCTGAGCACCGATCCAGCAGCCAGGGGCAAATCTCATAGCAGAGACAGCTGGGAAGCATGGCCAGGAGCCAAGGACGGGAGCGGGGGGAATCATAGGAGTCCATCTGTCACACTTCATTGTTATGACCGCAGACAAGGAACAACCCCTCTCTGGGCCTCAGTTTCCTCTCCTGTAAAATCAAGGAGGGGACTCAACATTCACAGGCCCTGAGCACAACTGAAAAGAGTCAAATGCAAATCACTGAAGCTGAGCTCTTAGTGGTGTGATTGGGGAAAATGGGGAGCTCACCACCTCACCAGATACCAGATTCCACTTCAGTGCAGCTCCAGCCTGGGGGTTCAGCCCCCCAGGAGATACTCTGCTTTGGGTACCCTGAGCCCCTTCCCAACAGCTGCCCTCCACAGATCCCTAGGAGGCTCCACAGTCTGCTACAGATTCTATGTTCAACCATCCCAACAGCCCTTTCCAGGGCTCAGTGTAAACAGAGGCCAGTGCCGACAAATAAGGCCCTGGGATCTGACAGCTCATGGGTTCAAATCTCAGGCCCATCACTTCCCAGCTGTGTGACTTTAGACAAGTCACTTAATGTCTCTGGGCCTCAGTTTCTCCCTGTGTTAATTGGAAACAATCACCATACCTACTCTTTGAGGACTGCTATGTAAAAAAACTTTCCCCATCACCTGAAAAGAAGGAGCTGTTCAACTAATGTTGCTGTTATGACAAATAATGTTACTACGGTCTTTGCATTACAGGAATTTCTTCTGAGTACCTAAGTGATTGCCCATCCCCCTCACTGATCAGTAAGCCCCTGAAACTCTCCTATGACCTAATGCCTGCATTTTCATTTGCATCCCACAGGCCAGCCACGGTCCAAACCACAGCCACACCAAGATGGGTCTCCACTGGCCACCCCTTCGCCCTCCTACTCACAAACCCAGATCTATGCGAGGGTGGTCACAAGAGATGCCCATTTCACACATGGGAACACTGAGGCCCCAGGAGAGTCAGACCCTTCACAGTGACACCTGCCTCCCACCTGGTGGCCAGCACAGGGCAAGCAGGAGAAGGTGGGGCAGGGGCCACGAAGGACAGGACGGGGCATACCCGGTTCTCGTCATAGATGATCTGCACCAGGCTGCGATGCTTCGATTCGATGGGCGGTGGTGACACGGGCTTCTCGGGCTCCGGCGGCTTGGCGGCCTCCTCTTCCAGCTGTTGCTGTGGGGAGCGGGGAGAGTAGTGGTGAGCACGCCGGCAGGCGGAAGGAGAGGCAGCTCCCCCAACAGCGGGGGCGGCCCCCCGTTCAGCCAGGCTGGTGGCCCCACACAGGAAGTCAGGCTGCTAACCATTTCCTCTGAGTCACCCGCAGGGACTCCAAGCCCTGGAGAGGCCCCAGCTCCCACAGGGAAGGGCCCGACCAGGGCTGGCTCCAGACTCTGCTGCCAGCCTACCTGGGTGTAAGTTCAGCCTTGGGGATTTACCAGCCAGGTGAGTATTAGCAAGCAGTTTAACCCTGCTGTGCCTCAGTTTTCTCATCTGTAAAGTGGGTCTCATGGCTGTGCCTCCTGGATGAGTTAATATATGTACAGTCAGACTGGTGGCTCACTGAAGGTGACCCATTATCCATCATTACCAACACATGCACCATCATCCTCAGGAGAGGCTATGGAGACTCTGAAGCCAAACTGTCCATACTGGAACCCTATTTCTATGACAGTAAGTCTCCTACATAAGAACCTTTGAGTTGCAAACTTTCAAAGATGCAAGCATGCCCCTGTATGCCAGCTGTTGTAATGTAATTACTGTAATTTTCAAGGTCCTATAAGATTACAAATGGCATTTTTTGTGTTTGTTTTCCATGTATTATTTGTGTAGAAAGTATTATAAACCTATTACAGTACAGTACTATATACCCAATTGTGCTAGTTGGATACCTAGGCTAACTGTTGGTTCAGAGTTAGCTGCTCATAGTGAAAGTCACTCAGTTGTGCCCAACTCTTTGTGACCCCGTGGACTGTAGCCTGCCAGGCTCCTCTGTCCATGAAATTCTCCAGGCAAGAATATTGGAGTGGGTGGCCATTCCCTTCTCCAGGGGGCCAAACCCAGGTCTCCCACATAGCAGGCAGATTCTTTACTGTCTGAGGCACCAGGGAAGCCCAAGAAAACTGGAGTGGGTAGCCTATCCCTACTCCAGAGGATCTCTCCAACCCAGGGATTGAACCAGGGTCTCCTGCATTGCAGGCAGATTCTTTACCAGCTGAGCTACCAGGGAAGCCTGTGTAACTTTGTTGGACTTAGGTACAAATTGGACTTAGGAATGTGCTTTTGGAATGGAACTCATTCATATGCAGGGGACTTAACTGTATTTACTTGCTATATAACCTTGAGAAGTTGCTGAACTCCCCCAAGCCTCACTTTTCTCATCTGGAAAATGGGAATAACAAAAGGTTCTATCCTAGAGAGTTGATATGAGGATTAAATGAGCTGGTGCACACAAAGCACTCAGCATCTAATGAGCAGCTTCTCATCATCATTATTATCATTGTCATCTGCCCTGTGGTCTTCATACTGGACCCCCCCTCCTCCAAACACCATAAAAAACTCCCTGCATGCTGTTTTCTGCTTTATACCAAAAGGGCAAAGCAAAAACCAAAGAGTTTAAGACACTGGCCCAAGGTCACACAGGAGGCCAATGCCCGGGGAATACAGTCTGAGAGGGCATCTTGAAGGAAATGAGAACACTGTTCTTTGCTCATAAGGCTCACACATCCTGCCCATGACCATGAAGCAAACCATTATGAACTCAAAAATACAGCCAAGAGGGGGCCATGCAGAGTCTGAAGCCTGGCTGGTTGAGCCAAGCTGCCTCAGTCCCACAGTGACCCCTAGTGGTGGCTTTCAGAAGGACAACCAGCCCTCAGAAAAACATTGAAATCCCTCCAAAAAAGTGTGAAAGAAACTAAGCCAAGAAATGGAAGGCATGCATGGCCTGGAAGAAGATTCTCACCAATCAGTGAAGGGGACCCTCCCTGAGGCACTAAAAATTAAACACAGAGTTACTGTAGGACCTAGAAATTTCATCCCTAGACACAGAGCCAAAGAACTGAAAACAGGTGCTCAAACAGAAACATGAACACAAAAGCTCATAGCAGCACTATTCACAATAGTCAAAAGATGGAGACAACCTAAATGTCCACCAACTGATGAACCGATAAACAACTGTGGACCATCTATCCGTACAGTGGGATACTGGCAACAAAGGGAATGAAGTGCTGGCAAAGGCTGCAACATGGATGAACCTTGAAGACATGATACTGAGGGAAAGACGCCAGACAGAAGAGGCCACATAGTGTTTGGTTCATTTACAGGAAATGTCCAGACAAATCCGCAGACAGAAAGCAGATTAATGGCTGCTGGGGCAGGGAGAAAGGGAGTGGCTGCTAGTGTGCACAGGGGTCTTCTTTTGAGGTCATGAAAATGTCTTGGAACTAGAGAGGATGGGTGTCCGTACAACGCTGTGAAGGGACTAAATGCCGCTGAATTGTTCCCTTTACCAAGAGTCATTTTATGTTTCGTGAATTTTATTTAAAAAAGAAAAACTGCCCAAAATGGTATTTTTGTTTTTTTAATCTGGCTATCAAGGGCTGCCCTGGGCCATCTGGCTTCCAGCCTTAGTCACAGACGTGTGCACATGGCCTGTAGCTTCAGCCTCACCCCAAAGACAGGCCTGGGGGACCTAAAGGCCCAGCACTCCGCTGGCCTTGGCAATAACTGCTGACTCCAATCAGGACCCGGCCTCCCCACATGGTGTGTTGCCATCCTGGAAACGCACCCACTTCCTGCAGTTGGCCAAGCCTCACTGACTGGCCAGGCTGCTGGACCATCCTCAGGTGCCCCCAGGCGAGCGACAGTCCCAGGGTCTCTTGGAATCAATGCTCCCCTCCCCCTATATAACTTTCAAAGCCTGTCACACTGCCCTAAACTGGCCTCTGGGAAGCGTCTCTCACCAGCCTTCCTTCCACTGCCTATGGTGGCCAGAATGAGCCCTTAGATCCATCATGGAGCCCATGAATCCTCACCTGGAGGGAATCAGGAGAGACCCTGCTTCCCCAGGGTTAAGACAGGTGTCACAGTGACTCGATCCACAGTTTTCAAGGAGCACCTACTCTATGCCAGTGTTGCTAGGAGCACAGCAGGGAACAGGAGACAAGAACCCTGCTTTTGGACTTCCCTGGTGGTCCAGTGGTTGAGAATCTGCCTACTAATGCAGGAGACACGGGTTCAATCCCTGCTCCAGGAATATTTCACATGCCGTGGAGCAACTAAGCATCATGCACCACAACTACTGAAGCCCATGCACCCTCGACCCTGTGCTCTGCAACAGGAGAAGCCACCGCAGTGAGAAGCCTGCACACCACAATGAGAGAGTAGCCTTCCGTTCACTGCAACTAGAGAAAGCCTGAATGCAGCAACAAAGACCCAGCACAATCGAAAACTAAATTAAATAAATAAATACAAGTTAAAAAGAAAAAAGAAACCCTGCTTTTACACTGTAGTCATGAGAAGACCACAATGTCACAAAAGAAACTATACATTCGTTCAAATGGTGACACCGTTCAGCAGGGTGACAAGATTGGCCAACTTCCCATAGAGGCCCAGAAAGTAAATATCTTGGGCTTTGCTGGCCACACAGTCTCTTTTGTGACCATCCAGCTCTGCGGTTGTATCATAAAAGCAGCCGCAGACGATGTGTAAACAATTGGATGTGGCTGTGTGCCAATAAGGCTTTATTTACAAAAATAAGCATTGAGCCACATCTGGCTGGATTTGCTGACCTCCAGGATAAAGAATGGGTGGGGATGAGGACTCCTATAAAGGTCAGGGAGGGTCTCTACTGTGGTGGGAACATTTGAGCAGACACCTGAAGATGCCAGAGAGAGAAGCAGAAGAGCCAAGAAAAGGTAAAAATAAAATTATAAAATTAACATTATTCTTCTTTATGTCAACTTTTCCTTGATTTCAATGACAATGATGATTTCTTTTCATCACATGACTCTGTCCCTTCCTCACAATCCTATGAGGCAGTGTCATGTCTGTGCCCATTTTACAGACAAGCAAACCGAGGCTCAGAGAGGTGAATGCTCTGAGGCAGAGATAGGAGGTCCAGCTCATCCAGATTCCAGAGCCAGGGCCAGAATCATGTGAAATTTTCCTTCACATTATAAATGAGGAAAGGGAGGCACAGAGAATCAACTGCCCACCCCACAGCTGTTCATTCCTGTGCCATCCAGTACAGTAGCCACATTTGGTGATCCAAGTGTACCTCTCATTTAATTCAAATTAAACGAAATTAAATATTCAGTTCCTCAGATGCACTAGGCACATATGGGTAGTGGCTACCATTTTGGACAGGGCAGATCCAGAACATTTCCATTAGGGAGTTCCAGTAGAAAGCACCACACAAAACAGCTCTCCTGTCCAATAAACACAAAGGGCATAAAAACGACTCAGCACATAGGCAGTGTTCAACACATGTTAACAACTGCAATTACTACTATGTTATCTTCTCAGCCGTAGCCGCTGCTGGATCAGAAACTGATATCCACCATTCCCCCACCCACCCACACCTGCTTCTTCTTCAGTTTGGAGATCTGCTGCTCCACCATGGTGATCTCCCGGTCCACCCGGTCCATGTTCTGGATCAGCTCCTCCTTGGAGAGCCGTGGGGGTACCAGCTCCAGCTCAGGGTCAGCATGCGGGGGGCTCGGAGGAGACACCGGCTCCAGCTTGCCTGTCAGGCTGCGGTCCTGCAGGGGAGGAAAAAACAGGCCTGGGATCAAGACAGGAGGCACACCCACCCCCAATACACTGAAGGTTTCCAGCCATGACTTCAGGAACCAACACACCCGGCCTCTGTTGTGCCGGCCCCCACATCCCAGACATGAGGTTGCTTGCTGATCCCACCTCCCCACCTTTGCCCTCACCAGTCCCCTGCCAGATGTTCCCTCCCTGGCCTTCTCCAAAGTTCAAATCTTATCTATCTTCCTACATGCAAGTTTTCCAGACCTCCCTGCAAGGCCTCCGTCTTCCCTTTTCCCATTACATACCTCTCTCCTACCCTGTTACCCTGTCTGTGTCCTCCCTCCAGATCAAACTTCTCCAGAACTGGCATCAAAACCCACAACCTCCTAATACCCAAGGCCTGGCCTCAGTTGACCCTCCACAAACAGGTATTCACGATTCTCAGTCCAAATGAGCAAGTTACAGAATATCATACACGGTACAAATCTGATTTTGTAGAAGATATACACAAACACACAGGAAAACTGTAAGAATTGGAAACAGAGATGCCAAAAGTATTTACTGGGGTACTGGGAGAAAAGGGGGATATTTTCACTTTCTTTTTTGTAAACCGAGGTACTACTTGCCTTTATTTATAGTGTTGCATTAGTTTCTGTGGTACAATGAAGTGAATCAGATATATATATATATCCCCTCCATCTTGGACCTCCCTCTCACCTCCACCCCCCATCCCACCCCTCTAGGTCATCAAAAAGCACTGGGCTGAGCTCCCTGTACTATACAGTAGGTTTCCACTAGTTATCTCTTTTACACATGGTAGTATACATATGTCAATCCTAATCTCCCAATTCATCCCACCCTCCTTCCTACTTCTTTTTATTTACCAATGTTCTGCTTTTCCTTCACTGACTGCTACTTTCTGTGTAATGAAGTCATTTTCCAAAATGTGCTAAAAAAAAAAAAAGGGCAAAAAAACAAAAAATACAACTTGGGAATTCCCTGGTGGCCCAGTGGTTAGGACTTCACACTTTCACTGCCGAGGGCCTGGGTTCAATCCCTGGTCAGGGAAATAAAATCCCACAAGCCAGACGGTGTGGCCAAAAATGAAAACAAAACAAAAATGTGTTAAGCAAACAAGGGAGTCAGTGGCTCCATTCCACCAGTGAAAGTTTATTGAGTATCCAAGGTTGCTGGGAGCACAATGAGGAGGAAGTAAAATAAAACCCAGTCCTTGCCCCCAGAGCACTCACCTATGTGGCCCTGGGTTCAAATCCCCACCCAGGATCATCGTGACCACAAGCCTATCACCTGCCTCCATTTCCTCATCTGTACAATGGGACCATTCCCGTTTTCTGGCTGCTGTGAGGCTTGAATGAGTACCTATGTGCAGAGCGCTCAGCTCAGAGCCTGGTGCACTCTCAGGACTCCACAGGCGCTGGCTGGAGCCGTCCTCCCCAAAACCTGGCCCCTGCCCTGTGCCATCCTCAAGGCCAAGCCGGCAGCTGCTGGCAGAGGAGGCCCCAGGAGAAGCTCCGGGCGGCTGCCTCCCCACCCCCACAGCAGCTGCAGCCGGAGGACAGAGGACACATTATTCCCAGGGACAACTGCAGCCCCAGGGCTGCCAAGCGCCACGCTCCCCCCACCCTCCAGCTCGAGTTGAGCAGAGACTGTGCCATCTTATGTGTATGTTAGTTGCTCACTCGTGTTCAACTCGTTGCGACCCCGTGGACTGTAGCCCACCAGGCTCCTCTGTCCATGGGATTCTCCAGGTAAGACTCCTGAAGGGGTTGCCATTCTCTTCTCCAGGGGATGTTCCAGACCCAGGGATTAAACCCAGGTCTCCTGTATTACAGGCGGGAAGCTCTCTGGTGCCATCTTAAGTCCACCCTTTCTGTCTTTGGCGTCTCGGTCCTACACACACAGACCCCACTGAAGCCCACAGGGACCAAAGGTCTGGGGATCACTGTGGCCTTATCATTTCCATCTGAGACATGGGGGAGAGCAGGTGTCGAGACTCTCAGGTCCTCCACACACCCAGAACCCTTGGGGAAAAGGCAGAAGAGGTCCCAAATCCTTTACAGGGCCCAATGTGGCCCTAACAGGGCTCTGATGTGGCCCTCCTCAGGGGCACTCAGGAAACCGAACCAGGCATTCCACTCAGCACACCTTACCCCTCAACTCTGACTGTGGTTCTCCCGGGGGCTGCCACTGCATCCCCATAGCACAGATGAGAGAACAAGGAACTGGCAGGCACAGGTCTGGCAGGGCTCTAAGCCAGCAGTCAGCACACTTTCTATAAACAGCCAGGTGTAAAAACACTTCAGTCTTTGCAGATCAGACAGTTTGTGTTCCAAGCACTCACCTATCATTGCAGTGGGAAAGCAGTCAAAGACAGGATGCCGAGGAATGGGCATGGCTGGGTACCAATAAAACTTTATTTATAAACCCAAGCTGAGGGCCAGGATTGGAGCTTGCTATGCTCTTAACTCACATAGTGGTCGCAGCCCACACTGGAAGTGGAAGTACAGTTTTCCCCATTTTCCAGATGAAACCAAAGATCCAGTGAGGTTCAACGACATGCCTGAGGTCACCAGTCACAAGTGATAGAGCCTTGGCTTGGAGAGCTCAGGATGGGAGAGACCAGGCCTCAATCAGAACTCTCCAGAAGCAGGCAGAGTACACAACCAGGTGGCAGGGGCTCCTACAGCAGAAACAAGGTCCCTACCACACATTCATTCATCCCTCGGAACCACGTGGCTGGGCAGGAAAGCAAGAGCAAGGTCCCTTCCAGGGTCCATGACTCCCTGAATTAGAAGCAAAACTGTGCACGGAATTAAACAACCTCTAGAGAAATACTCAGAAAGGGTGTGTGTGTGTGTGTAACTGCTCCCCAGTAGGAGGGACGAGCTGGGGGACACGGGGACTGCAGGCATCTGACCCCACAGATGCCAAACCAGAAGCCGCTCACGTACCCTGGCAACTCTGGGCCTTTGCACCAGCTGTGCCCTCTCAGGACTCTACCTGTGTGCCACCTCATATCAGACTCACCATCCATGCCCCCACCCCCAGCCCTTATCTGAGCTTTGTCCCTTCCCTCGGTGTGCCACGGCACTTGGCTGGTCTTCCCCCAATAGCCTCAATCATTTCTCAGGGTTCCTGAGATAAAGGTTTTGGTGACATGGTTCCCAAAGCCCAGTCCTATTACCTGCTGTAGGAAACGTCTCTCCTGCCTCGCTCTGATCTTCCACCAGGACCAAGAAGGGAGGGAGAGGAGCAGAGTGAGAACGAGGACTGTGGACAGGAGGCTTTTGGGGCAGGACACCCCAAAACAGTTCATCTAATTCGGGGATAATTCTCAAAATGACATGAGCGGGACTGGTGGTCCAGTGGTAAAGAATCTGCCTTCCAACACAGGGGGCTTGCATTCAATCCCTGGTTGGGAAAGAAAGATCCCACATGCCACAGGGCAATAAGCCCGCACACCGCAACTACAGAAGCCTACATACTGCAATAAAGAGCACGCACGCTGCAACGCAGAGCCCAGGCAGCCAAATAAAGAAATAAAAAAATTTTTAAATAAAATGTCATGAGGAAAAAGATTTCCATCCCCAAAGCTGACAAGGGCAGCAGAGCAGTTGGATGAAGTAGTTGGCAATGACCAGGAACTATTGGAAAAATTGTTGGAAACTTTTTCTCAAATTCTTGATGGGGAAAAGCTGTCTTCTTCAATGGTTTCTTCCTCAAGGTGTGGGCTTAGCTTTTATTCTCAGCACAACTGCACAGATGGGTCCGTCAACTGACAAAGTATGGTCTCTCCACATAATAGAATGTGATTCAGCCATAAAAACGAGTTGACGTACAGACCCATGGTACAACACAGATGAACCTTAAGAACATGATGCTGAGTGAGAGAAGCCAGGCATAAAAGGCCACATATCGGATGGTCCCATTGATACGAAGTGTCCAAAACTCGTAAATCCATAGAGACAGAAAGCTGACGGGTGGTTGCCAGGGGCTGGGGAGGAGGCAGTGGCTGTTGATGGGTCACGATACCTTTCTGGGATGATGAAAATTCTCTGCAACTAGACAGAGATGGTGCACAACTCCATGAATGTACTAAACGCCACTGAACTGCTCGCTTCAACCTGCTTCATTTCATGTTATGTGAATTTCCCCTCCATCTGAATAGAAGATGCACACCAGAGGGCAAAGAGTGCTTTCTGCGGTGCTGAGTTTTCCAGGAATGGGACTGGAGGAGCCCGGCTACTGGGCCTCCAGATGGTTCTCCCGATGGCGGCTGGCCTTCATTTCAGTCCAAACCCGCAGGAGGAAAATAACAATCCAATACCCTCACCAGTCGCTAGGTAGCAGTTGGCAACATTTTCCCCGTCAGATGCCCTTGGCATAAAAATTCAGGCCAACATGGAACAGAAAAGCTCATTATGTAAAATTACAGACACAGAGGTAAGCAAAAGCCTTGAGAGCTGGAGAGGACCCCTTGGGCCTCCGCCTGCTCCGTCTCAGACCCAGGAAAGGGCAGGGCCAGGCTTGGGCACCCACAGTCCACTCCGCCAGTCACCATGATGGATTCCAGGACAGGCAGGGGCTTACCCAAAGGCAGGGAGATAAACAGCTCTGGTCTGGAAATGTGGAAACACAGGGAAAGCTCTTTTTGTTGACCTTGAATGTGGGAAGAGGAAGGCCTGGAATTTCAAACTGCCTTCTTGTTAACAAGACCACATGCAAGATGGCAGAGCCAAGAAACGGACAGAGACAGGAACCCAGGGACATGTCACCTGGATCAAGCTGTGCCTGAAGCCAACAATGCTGGGATTTCAGTTATATGAGCCAGATCTCCTGCCTAAGCCAGTTTTGCCTGGGTTTTCTGTCCCTTTCAGCCAACAGGGCCCCAACAGACAAAGAGACTTTCAGAAATGGTGCCGTTTGTGATGATTCTAAAGTCCCCAGAACCAAGTTTGATGAATTTCAAAGGAAGCCTCTGATGCCACAGGACTCCAGAGGCTTGAGAGCAGGGAAGCATTATAAAACAGAACATTTTTATATGAAAAAGGAACACAGCCAGAGGGGAAGGGGGCAGTGCTGTTTAAAAAAAAAAAAAAAAAAAAATCCCATCAAATTCCTGTCTCACGCATCCAGCTAAATTCCACACAGCAGACGCAAAAAACATCTGAACTCCTTCAGAGTTGTGTTTCTCCCCTGGCTTCCTCCCTTGCCCAAAATGCGCTCATACTTTCCAAATGCTCTTAACAGCCTGGAACAATTACAGGAGTTGGTCCAGCCAGGCCCCAACACTGGGCCCATCACTCCCCCGCACCCATGGGGTCCAGGAAGGGAAGAAACAGACAGACAGAGAGAGAAACAGAGAGACACACAGATACACACACACATCCAGGCAGAGAAAGACAGAGACACAGGAACAGAGAGACAGAGACAGAAGCAGAGACTGAGAAAGACTCACAGAAGGAGAGGAAGCACCCCAGGGCACTCTAAGAAGGAGAGGGATAAGCAGGACTCACAGAGCCCCTGTCAGGCCCGGAGACCCTCAGAAGGACCTGAAGGCTTGAGGGCTTGAAGCCCAGTTCTGCAGAGCCACGAGGCAGGCCTCTGGGGGCTGGCCAGAGACCCCCATCAGCCCATTCTCCAGGCAGAACCAGATGTGAGCACGGGCACATGGCCCACTTGGGGCTCCAGTCCCTCTGGGAGGACATCAAGCCTCCCTAGTGTGGCCCCGTGTCCTCCGTCACACACACCCTGCTCCCCTTCAGGGAACAGCTTTTCCAATAGCAACATCCCTCCCAGGAGGCTGAGGGGTCACGGAATCTAAGAGGAGGATGCTAACAAGGGGATGGCAGGATGGTAGGTTCAAAGGACCAGAGGGACAGCCCAAGACAGGAACAGCACACGGGGCAGACCTGGGCCACGTGGGCTTCAGTGCCCACTTCCCACATTCCGGGGACGGTGGCTCTCTCAGCCTGGGGTTCCCTATATAAAAAGTGATTATAGGAACTTCCCAAGTGGTCCAGCAGCTAAGACTGTGCTCCCAATGCAGGGGGCATGAGTCCAACCCCTAGTTAGGGAATTAGATCCCACATACTGAAACTAAAGATCCCGCATGCCACAACGAAGATCCGGAGCAGCCCAGTAAAAATATATACATTTTAGAAAGATGATCGCAGATATGATTGCAGATCAGTCTTCATCCAGCTGAGATGGCACAATGGAATTGACACTCGTATATACCCGGCCCACAGGCAGAGACTCCATCTGTGTTAGTTTATCATCATCATCATGACCAACCCAGGAACCCCGTTTCCTGCCAGTCCCCCTATTAAGGAACCTGCCTCAGCCTGAAATCTCACCATTCAATCCCATCCAGTGTCAGGCAGAGAAGAAGATCCAGCAGGTCCGAGTGGACCACTTCCCTCCCCTGGCCTGGCTCCCAGTCCCCACCCACCCCCACTGAGGCTGCAGTAAGAAGAGCACTGACCTCACTCAGCAGCTGGGCAGCCGTTAATGAGCTAATATGTGTCCCCACGGTCATGAAAGACCATGATGACACTGCTCAGCACGTGCAGAAAGGACATCCATCGTGCAGCCGGCCAAGGACAAGCATGTCACCTGGCCTAGGTCCCTGTTGCACCCTAGGCAGTGACAGGGAAATGATAGCCTCTGAGGCAGCTGGGTGACCCTGGGAGACAGAAGCATCTGAACCACTGGCTGCAATCCCTCCATTTAGATGGAGACCAAATGAGCTTCTAGAGGTCAGTCCTGAGGTTCACTGGAATGGCAGAAAATCTCTCCCAGCAGCAAACGATGGGCACTTAATCTATGCACATTCTCCTCCTCCATCTCAGCTTGACTCTCTGTTTAAAGAAGAGTGAAATGCAAGAGCCCTTCAGGGCACTACGGTCCCCAAGGGCAGGAAACACTTGAGGGTGGAAAACGGGGGTAGGGGAGAAGCCCCTCTCCAGTCAAGAAACAGCCCATGGAGTCAAGCTCATCCCTAGGCCCTCCTGTCGCTGCCCAGCCTCTGCACACCCGGTGCTCAGTCCCTCCTCCCAGCCTGACACACCCACCCGTTCCCTTGCATCCCGCCCAATCACAGCACCACCCACATCCTCGGAGGAGCTCCCAGCTGGGGGCCAAGCCTTACCTTGGACAGGTCCTCGGAGCCCCCAGGCTGGCCAGCGGCCAGCAGGGGCGAGGGCCGTAGCAGAGGGTCAGGCAGGAGCTCCAGGCGAGGGCGCTTGCTCTCCAGGAACTCCATCTCTGACTTGCCCAGCTCAGGCAGGTACGAGTGGGACTCGGGTCGCAGGTGAAGCTCCTGGGACCTGTGGGGGGGCCACATGACATCACATCTGCTGCCCTCCTTGCTGAGCACGGCCATGAGCCACGCCCTCCTCCACCCTGCAAGGAGTGTCCATCTGCTCAAGGGCACACAGTGAGGCAGGACTCAAACACAGATTTGTCTTCCTCCGAGTCAGCATTCACTGACAACGTTTATAGCAAGAGAAGGTCCTGGTGACTGTCTGCTCCCTAAGTGTGGTCCCCAGAGCAGTAGCATCAGCCCCTCTTGAGGCTGGTTACAAATACACAATCTTTTGAGTCCTACCCCAACTGCTGAATCTTATTCTGCATTCAAACAAGATCCTGGGTGATTCATAGGGGAAGTCTGAAAAACACTGTGGGTCTAACACAGATGTTAACACACGTGATGCTATTTGCACATCACTCACCCAGAGCAGATTATCACTAGTTGATCCCAGCACTCTGGCTGTTCAACCTGGCCTTGCCCCCTTATCAACTCAGCCCAGCAGTCTTTCGCAGAGATAGGAGCTGTCCAGCCTAATCACTCGTGACTAATTTTCCTTAACCCTCCTCCCTAGTGGACCAAGAAGGAAACTGGCCCAGAGAAGACATGTCCGTGCCTGAGCACACACAGCAAACCCAGGACTCCTAGTGTCCACCTCCAGCCACTGCTGCTGACCAGACAGTCCAAATGCTGCCCCTGCTGAAACAATTTTCAAGTTCATGTCTTTTTCCCCCAATAAACTCAGAATAAGAATCCAGATGCATTCCCCCCACCCTCAGGCCCTGCCCAATCTGGCCCCTGTTCACCTTGCCTGCTGCATTCCTGCCCCAGGGCCTTTGCACTGGCTAGGCCGGACCACACACACACACACACACACACACACACACACACACACCACCAGCTCTTTCCATGTTAGCTCTTCCCCTTCCCGTTTCAGTGCCCAGGGCATCTCCTCCTAACAGCCGTCTCCCTGCCCAGCAAAGTTCGAAACCCTCCCATTGGTTTCTGTGAAGTTTACCCTCCAGACCCCCAACCACCTGTTCACCCCAGCCACCCAACCTCTTTGCCTTTCTGGAACATTCCAAGGACATCCCCCTCTCTGGGCTTTTGTACATGCTATTGCCTTCACCCTGCTCTCCGAATGGCTGGTCAGTCCCTCTCCAAATGGCTCTCTGAATGACTGGCTACTTACTGCCAGGTGTCTCTCCCCGGAGAGGCCTTTCCCAGCCACTCCAGCCAAAGAGCAGCCCTTCCCGGCCCAGTAGGAAACAAGTCGCCTGCCCCATTTTAAAGTCATCCTGTGTGTTTGCTGTATCTCCCCTGCTGAGACCATGGGCTCCCTGCGGGCAAGGCTGTGTGTCTAGGTGCATGTGGGCAGCCACAGCCTACAATAGTTCATCACGAGTTAGAAGCTCAAGACTCTCAGGAGTTTCCTGGTGGCCTAATGGTTAAGATTCTGGGCTTTCACTGTGTGGCCCGGATTTAGTCCCTGGTTGGGAACCTGAGATCCCAAAAGGCACAACAACAACAAAAAGCCCAGGACTCTTAGCGATGAGTGCTATTACTGTCTCAGGCATCTTCAGGTTCTCTCAGGGCTCTGGCCTGTCCTGACAGCCTCAGCCCTGCCCCTGTTGAATCCCCACCTGCCACATGGCCTGCTCCCTCCCACCTGGATTTCACAAAGGCAAGGCAGGCCCAGAGGACCTCGTCCACCAGCTGAAGAATGGAAGAAGACTCAGAGAAAAAGGGATGATGACAAAGGTTGGGGGGGGGTCCGGTAAGGGGGCTCCCCATGTGAAGCCAGCTGCAGGCACATCCCTCCAAACCAGTAACCCAGCACTGCTCCCCAACTTCTAGCTTGTCATCCCCTCCTGCCTGAGCCACACACCCGGAGACCCCTGAAGGCACACGGCAGGAAGTCCAAGGGGCCACATGGTTCTTCCTTGCTCATCTACAACCCTGCCCCAGTCACAGCCTGACACCCCCTCATTTAACACCTCCCGCCTCCACGAGCTCCCCACCAGCACAGGCCTCCACTTCCCCATCTGAGCAATGGATGCACAAGCCCCTCCTCACCTTTCATTCCCGGGCTGAAATTCAGACAGCAGGGAGGGCCTCCTCCGCTGGGGCTGGATGATGGAGCTAGGCGACAGGTGTGAGGTGTAGTCACGGGGGTGGTGCGGGTATTCAAGCAGCCCAACATCCTGCAGCAGAACACAGGCCAGTGAGCGCCCACCCCACTGCGGTGCGACCCACACAGTGACCCAGGGCCAGAGCCCCCTGCCCGGCGCTACTCCTCCACCGGGGAGCCTCCCCCATCCTCTCCTGGCCCTCAGCCCCTGTCTGGCCAGAGTGCATTCCTGGGGCCAGTGACCACCAAGAAGTGACCCGTTCAGCTAAAGGGTGCCCCATCCTGTCACAATCTCCCAGTCCTGCCCTCTTTCCAGATGAGATGACCAAGCCCATGTGTCAGCAGAGAAAACCAGAAAAAGTGTCGGTCTCCGGTGCAAGAGACCCAGCAAGACACAGGTCAGGGGAAGTAGGTGATGCAGCAAACACTGACAGTCTGCAAGGCTCAAATACCAGGTTCCAAAACAAAGCGCCAACGTGGGAGTCCCCCATTTGCAGAGGGAAAACCCACACACGTGTGTCGCATACACAAGCACAGCTCAAAGTCAAAAGGATAAACTCCAGGCAAAACCCTCCTTCTTCAGTAATGTGCCATCATCACCCATTATCATCTGGGGAAAAACAAAACACTAACGAATTAGATGTGCTCCGATTAGCAACTACACGCTGACTGGAGACACATTAAAATGTTAAAAAAAAAAAAAAAGATTGAAACAAGAAGTCTTTCAAAGGAGAAAACAGGACAGGCTTCCTGCTCATACCAGTCCAAATCGATTACTTTTGTCTGCTGAGAACATTCACGCTGTGGGTGGCAATCAGTTAGTGATGTCTGGCAAGAGTAAGGCTTGGGAAAGCGTGGGATGGTAGGTGATTTATTTTTTTCTTGGCACCTTTCTGAATTCTCCCAATCTTCCGTAAAAATCTAGTCATTCTTTTGCTGTCTGGCTTATTTTTTTAAAGCTGTTATTTCTGCAAAAAGAATTAGATGATACCACGTAGGTGTGTTGGGAATGGATGTGTTTCAGACCCTCCAAAACAACAGCATGTAAGAGGCTGGGAGGCTGGGAAGCTGGAGGGATGAGTAACTAGAATCAAGAGGGATCCGGTCAACTTCAGAGGCTGAAAATGTTGAGGGAAGGGCCTTCCTGGGCAGCCCAACGTGGAAGCAAGAAGCTACAAGGCCTCAGGCTAGAGGTATGTGTCCATCACTCAAACCCTCTGAGCCTCAGTGTCCTCACCATTAAAAATGGATGCCTGAATTCCCTGGTGGTCCAGTGGTTAGGACTCCACTCTTCCACCGCAGGAGCACAGGCTCTCTAATCCCTGGCCAGGGAACTGAAATTCCCGCGTGCCACATGTCGTGGCCAAATAAAAGGAAAGAAAACTGAAATGGATGCTTGACCTGGACTGAAGGAGGCCTCTATGCCTCCAACCACAAATCCCCCTTAACTCTCCAAGGATTTCCCCCAAGACTGATGGCAGCTTCCAGGAGGCAGAGGAGGGCTCAGCCTCCCCGGAACTTCCCCACACTCCAGGATGTCTACCAGGTGCTCCAAAGGAAGAAGTAGAAAGGGCTGGAGGGAGTGGGTGGCAGCCTCTGGGATCCCACTGGCGAGGCTGCCAGGCATAGATCTGGTGTGCACACGCACGCAGAGGTGTGAGAAGAAATCAGCAAGCACTGCAGTCTGCCAGGAGGAAAATTCCTTCTCACACAAAAGCAAAATGAACAAAGCGGCAGAAAGGCAGACAGTCCAATCCCTCGGGAGAGGGCCCGGGCAGGATGGCGTGCCTACTGCCGCCAACTGAGGCGGAAAAAGGCACGTGGCGCCTGGGGCCCCTGAGGCAAGGGCATGGGGCGGCCACTGCATGAACCCTTCTGGCCTCAGTTTCCCAGTTTAAGAGTCAAGTGGGATGAGCTTAGAGCATATTTCCCCCAAAGACCATCTTGGGGGCCACCCACACTGATCTCCACCCTAGGGCTCTGAGTCCAGGGACCCTCAAGGGTGCCTCGATCTTTATGGAAAGGCAAGAACTGGGGAGGCCCCAAGAGAGGCCAAAAGTGAGGCTCACTGTGATCCCAGGAGCCTGAAGACAGCAGGCACACTGGCCGGAACCCTCCAGACACGTCTCGGAACATGAGAACCCTCCACGTGTTTCAAACCATTCCAGCCCTGCCCGCTGTCCCCATACATGTATGTGGCCCAAGCGGGCTCCTGAGTCCGTGATCCTTGGTCTGGGGGGAAGCGCTGAAGATGAGCAGATGCAGATCCTTCTTGACAGCCTGTTGACAGGACCGCAGCATCTGAGTGCATGGCCAGCACGGTCCTGCCAGCCTCGGCCTAAACCCGTCCTCACACCCGCAAACTGGGTCACGTGCAGAAGGCCCATATATCTGTTTGTGACAAACTAGAAATGAAACAGACTGGTCCTTCCCATAGAGAGCCTGATAAGCACTGATCTGGGGCCAACGAGGCCGAAGGCCAAAGTCAGGCTCTCCCTGTCTCATCAAGTGTCACTGGCATATGGCCACAGCCACTTCAGTATGTGTTGGCTGAGCTACTTTTCGCACTGGGACATCAGCAGCCACAAGTCACTGTGACAGAGACCGCATGGCCCAAAAAGTCTGAAATATTTACAGCGAAGGTTTGCCAACTCCACCTCTGGAGGAAAAGCCTGCCGTGTACCCTGGGGGCCACTTGGAAAAGGATGCTAACGGGCATGTTGCTGTCATGACAGCAGCAGCATCAGTCAACACAGTACTGTATCAGTCACACTAACCTTCCTGGGCGTTGTACAGAGGCCTCTGCAGGTGTCAACTAACTTGATCCTCAGAGGCTTAAAGAAGCTGCTTACAATGCAGGAGACCCAGGTTCAATCCCTGTGTCAGGAAGATCCCCTGGAGAAGGGAATGGCTACCCACTCCAGTGTTTTTGCCTGGAGAATTCCATGGACAGAGGAGGCTGGCGGGTTACACTCCATAAGGTTGCAAAGAGTCAGACACGTCTGAGTAACACTTTCAGAGGCTTATAACTACCCTCACTCAATGGATGGAGACTCCAAGGCAAGGGGTGGTCAGGCCACTAAACTACAGTTTCACAGCTAGGACAGCACTGAGGCAGGACCTGAGTGCAAGGGGCTTAGCTTGAGAGTCTGTGCACTTAAACGCCCTTCTAACACTAAGGCACAGAGAGGTTAAGTAACTTGTCCAAGGCCACACAGCAGGAAGGAGTGGCACTGGGATTCAGACCCTGTGTCTTTGGGCTTTAATGCATTCATTCAACACACGGCTTGAAGGAACTTAAGAGAGCTCAAGGGGTCCCAGGGGACCTGAAGGAGATGGCAGAATTGAGGTGGCTTGCAGAAAGCAGGAAAAGAGACGAGAAGGGGAAAATGTGTTGGGACCCTCAATCCTGGGAGACCATCAAACTCCAGGACCCTCGGGGGAAAATGTGGAGTCCTGATACTGTGGGGGAGGAAAGCCAAGACCACAGAGATGGTGAGAACAGGACACAGAGAGGTGGTCCAGGAGGAGCAGGTGGGACTGAGCCAGCCACATGCACAGCACCATGGAGAGAGCCTCTGAACATGCCTGACGCCAGATCGGAGACGCACACCTGAATTAAGCCCTCCCTCTGAACCAGGCATAGCACACCAGCTGGCCTGGAGATGACACAGGTTGAAGCACAGGCCAGCAGAGGAGGCTGCTCCCAGGCCCCTCTCAGAATCCAGACCCTCTCCAGTCTCCCGCCAGCCTCCCAGGAGGAAAGAGATAATTGCCACGTGCAGACAGGGCCCTAGGCACCTTGCAAACATCTGCCGGTGATGCTCAGACCCCAACAGCCATATAACACACGGGAAAACTGAGCCTGCCCCACGCAGCCCAATGTCACTCAGCAAGCTGGGAGGAACAGGGATTCAAAGGCACATCTGGGCTTTCTTGCCCCACCCCTCATCCCAGCATCCCTGCCTCAACTATTGTACAAGGCGCTGGGACCCTGGGTCCCCATCTGGCCCTTGGACCGGGCATTTGTCTCTTTGTGCCTTTATTCCCCTTTTCCTTTGCCATTTGTCTTTCAAAGACTCAGGGTGGAGGGGGGAGTTCTCAAAAACTCTGTACAATGGCCTGGCGGTAAGGGGTTAGGGGGCTCAGGGCTGCAGGGGGACCCCCAGATTATAGTCCCAGTGCTCACCTCCCACCTGCCAAAGAAAAGCCCTGGACACATGCCTGGGAGAGCAAGACCCCACCACCCGCCCCGGACACCCAGAAATCTTGCTTTTAAAGCCTTCCCAGTAACAAGCAGGGGCCCCCAGCTGGGCCGCCCCAGCACCAGGCACGGTGGTCAGGAAGCGGGGCCCCACTGCGGTCACCACACAGGATAAGGATGCCCCACCTCATAGCTGTCCAGGGCCCCTGCCCACGCGCAGCCTCAGCCTCCTGCCTGGAGGAAGTGACCACTCGGTTCTGCCCAGCCACACCCTGCATCACTGGCAGTCCAGCAAGAACAACACAGCAAGTGCCTGTGATCAGGTGGTGACTCCAAATGACTGCAAGAGGGCCAGGCTGGGGCAAAGGAAGGAAGGGATGGCAGGATGGCAAGGGCCATGGGGACTTGAGGACTCACCAAGGCTGGGCCCAGGCCGGGGGCGGGTGGGGGCCCCAGGGGAGGGGGAGGGGGGGAGAGCCCCCTCCAGGCAGCTCTAACGACAGTGACAATTTTGCAGTTGGACACATGTGCCATAATGATGTTCCACAGATCATCACGTTTCATCCCCAGGAGAAACCAGGCAACAGATGCTCTCATTACCCCATTTTATGGATGAAAAACCAAGGCTCAGAGTCATTACATAACCCATCCTATTTGCTCACCTGCAAAATGTTCCCCCTGGAGCAAGGGCAACTGTATACACAAAGAGCATAAACAAAACGCTCGCCCTAGGGACTTCCTTGGTGGTCCAGTGGCTACGACTTCACATTCCCAATGCAGCGAGCCTGAGGTTTGATCCCCAGTCAAGGAACTGGATCCCACATGCTGCAACCAAGACCCGGCACAGTCAAATAAATAAATACTAAAAAAAATAAATAAATAAAGCTTGCCCTGCAAGCACTCAGTGGATGCTGCTGCTGCAGCTGCTAAGTCGCTTCAGTCGTGTCCGACTCTGTGCGACCCCATAGACGGCAGCCCACTAGGCTCCCCCATCCCTGGGATTCTCCAGGCAAGAACACTGGGGTGGGTTGCCATTTCCTTCTCCAATGCGTGAAAGTGAGGTCGCTCAGTCGTGTCCGACTCTTAGCGACCCCATGGACTGCAGCCCACCAGCCTCCTCCGTCTTTGGGATTTTCCAGGCAAGAGTACTGGAGTGGATTGCCATTGCCTTCTCCAACTCAATGGATGAGAATGCTTATTTTTGCTACTGTGATCATGACAAAGCTGATGACAATACATAATAATAAATGACCCCCAGGAGCATAGTCCTGGGCCCTGGGCACACAGTAGGTGACCAATAAACAGAAGCATCTGTTTCATGGGGGCTCAGAGTCCTTCCCTGGTGGCTCAGTTGTAAAGAATCTATCTGCCAAAGAGAAAGATGCAGGTTCAATCCCTGGTCCAGGAAGATCCCCTGAAGAAGGACACGGCAACCCTCTCTAGTATTCATGCCTGGAAAATCCCACAGACAGAGGAGCCTGGCAGGGTCGCAAACAGTCAGACACCATTTAACGACTGAGCATGCATGCACACAGAGTCCTGAAGCTGACGCCAACTCTGCCTCCTCACAGTGATTGAACCTGAGGCCTATTATTTAACCTCCCAGCCTCAATCTCCTCATCTGCAAAATGGGAGGATAATGTGAGGTGCTCTTTCATTAGGTTGTTTGTGAGAATTGAACCACTCCATCCATAATGTGCCCATTGATCACAGCCAGCTCTCAAAAGCATCTTGGGGCCCAAATTCTCGAGAGGCCACTGTGTTTGGGACACCCCCAGGCTGGGCCAGTGGGCTTATATGCAAAAACATCTCTCTCACAGAGGATGGAAAAGCCCTCCCACGCCATTTCCTCTCAGCGTCTCAGGAGGAGGGACCATGCCACCTGAGCAGGACAGACACAAACATGTACACGTCGGGGCCAGCAGGGCTGGCTTCGACCCCGGCTGTGACTGCAAATCCTCACGGTCCCTCACTGAGTAGCTAGGCGGTCCAACAGGGGAAGCCCAGGACTCTGAGGGCCCTCTGGAAAGCCCCGAAGACGCGGTATACAGTAAGTGCCCAATAAGTGCCAACAGAGCAGAACCAAAGCCCATCCTCAGCGCCATAGGCAGCTACAGGGGAAGTCAGGAAAGGAGGCCCCCACTAGGAGGTGGACATTGTCGGGTGCAGCTCAGAAGAGCTGACCGAGGAGACTTCTCTGGTGGCCCAGTGGTCAGCACTCCAGGCTTCCAGGGCAGGGGCTCGGGTTTGATCCCTGGTTGGGGAACTAAGATCTCACATGCCACATGATATGGCCAAAAAAAATTTTTTAAAGCTGACCAAGGGCGCACCTGCTCCTTCCCCAGCAGGCTACCACCCCCAACACTGGAGCAGCTCTCCCGTGAGCAGAACCAACTCCCTGGACCTCCCCCGTCTCCGCCCCCCAGCTCATGTCAGAGATTCAGAGAATGACACGTGCTGGCCTTGTCATTTGGGAGCTCTGAGCATCACACAGTGAATAGGCTCCAGGCCCTGAGGATTGGAGGGGAGGGTCTGCGAGCCACAGCCCCCAGAAAGTCACTCCAATCCTAAGGCAAGGGATCCTGGTTGAGGCTGGGCTGACAGTGTATACAACAGAAGCTCCACATCCACATGCAAACCCCACAGCAGACCCAGAGGCAGAGATCACAGCTCAGCCTGGCCCTGGGCTCCACCTTCCCAGCTTTAAAGTGGGAGCTAAGAGATTTTCTCAGATGTCCCGGGGCCTGGCAAGGCCACAGATGTCAGTGGTATCTGCCCAGTCACCCCACTTCCCCACAGGGGACAGTGAGCCCTGGCTGGACACCATCGGAGCCACACCGGCGCCGACTCCAAGGAGAAACAGGAACCCAGTGACAAAAGAAAACACTGAAGGTGACCCCAGGCGAACATTCGTGCCCCTTACCGTGTGCGGCCGGGCGATCTGAACGGGGTAGGAGATGCCGTGGGGTGGGTAGCGGGGCTCGGTGGCCCGCCACGTCTGTGCCACAGGCTGCGTGGATCCCGACATGGTGGTGGGCATCCAGGGGGGCTCCTGGGCCCCTGTAATCTCCCGCTCAATGGTCAACAACGATTAAAAGCCAGTCTTCGTCATCTGCTCGCAGACCACCCTGTCCTAGGCACCTGTGAAAACAGAAAAGAAAGCAAGATCAGCCATGGGGCAGCTGCTCCTGGCAGACCTTGAAGGGGCCCCTTCCTGTGGCCCCTGTGAGGGAATGAGAGCAGAGAGGGGTCTTCCAGGACCCTCCTCCATGCCAGTGGCACACTCCCTGCCCGCTGACAGCAGAGGGAGACGCCAAGTGGTGTCTGAGGCCCCTCCAAGCCACAGCAGGCCAGCAGCTGCTGCACAAGCCACGTGGGTGACAGCCGTGCCCTCCCCCACTGCCTAGGTCCTTGCTCAGCAGGCATGGGAACCCCAACTCTACAGGTGCTGCCCTTACGGCCCCCAAGCAATCTCAGCCCACCCAACTGCACCCCATGGAACCCCAGCTCTGCAGACACTGCCCCCACCACCCCTGTGGCCCCCAAGAACCCTCAGTCCACCCAACCTGACCCCCAGTCCTCTGCCACTTTGAGTCACCAGGGCAAAGTTCCCCAAAGCACCTGGCAGCTCAGTCCGGCACTAATGGGCCTGTCCCAGGAGGGGCCATGTCCACATGAGCTGGGGGGGCAGTGGTGGACAGGGTCAGGTCAGGCAGAACGCAGGTCACAGTGTGCTCACGGGCAAAGCTGGGCCTGCCGGGCCTCCTGGTGATCCTCAGGTGGGGGGAGTGTAACACTGGGCTGGGGGACAGAACAGACATGAGGTTGGCCAGGATATGAGCTGAGAGCGAGGGCACAGGGAACCTGAGGGCCACACTGGGGAAACAACTAAGGACAGGGACCCAAGTGGGCCCCAAGCGGCTCCTGGGGGCAGGAAAGGATAACCTCCACAGGCGAGAAAGCACTCCTGTGTCCACAATGGAAGGAATCTCAAGAAACAGTCCCCTGACTTTTCAGATGGAAAAACTGAGACTCAGAAAGGAGAAAGGACTCCAGTCAAGAGAGCAAGAGAGCCTCTGATCAGAAAAGACCTTTGCCCAGGAGTCTCTGGGGGCCCCCCACTCTCCCCAGGACCCTTCTCTCCCTTCTTTGCTGGCCACGCTGCAGGCAGCCTCCCCAGGATTGTAACTGGTTCCTCCACCCAGGCCAGGATTGAGAGCCTGTCAGGTCCTGGGCCCCCTCCACATGGGCCACTCTGAAAGGGGGTGTCTACTCAGAAACACCAACACCACAGAGAGGAGGAGGAGGGTGGTTAACAGGACAGAAGGAAAGACCTGGGAGTCTGGGGACAGCTCTGCTAATGCAGAATCTTCTGCTTGTCCCTGTAGCTAAAAGCACAGTGCCTTCTGAAAGGGGAAGAAAGGGAGACCGTGGGTTGTTGCATTTGTATTGTTTCAGAGCCAAATAAATCATACCCAACATCAAAAATAAAAGAAAAAGAGAAAAGGGGTGTCCATCAGGCCCCCATCACATACAACGCCCCACTCACAGCCCCTACTCAGAAGTTGAGGAAAATCCAAGATGGCGCAAGCACTCAACACCTGAGTGTCCCCAGGTAGGGCTGGGGTTGCACCTCACGTGTACCCCCAGCTCCCTGTAATTTCATCACAATGTCCCTCATCACCCTGCCCTCCACTGACGGCCATCCTTCTCCAAGGGCATGGACGCCCCAAACCCTCCACTGGTGCTCTACCCACTGAAGATCTGATGTGGAGGGATGTTAGGAGGAAAGACGGGGATCACGGAGGTCAGAAGAGGAACAAACCCCTCTCCCCTCCATCTGGGGGCCCTGACTGCTTCCTGCTCTCCATCCCCATCTCCTGCTACAGTTGACTTGACTTTCCTTTCAGGAACCATCTTCCCTCTCCAGACTCCAGGAGTGATCACATGATCCAGGCCTGGCCAATCAGACTCCTGCTTCCCCTGGACCACTGATTGGCTCAGGGATTGGCATGTGACCCAATATGAGCCAATGAGAGTCATTGGGTCTTGAGACTTTGAGAAGGAACCAGAAAAAGGCACTCTCCACTGGGGCTCTAAGCTAGGAGGATGAAAGCTTGGGGGTCATGCAAGGCCACTGGGTGGCAGAAACCTATCCAAGAACATACCCCCAGAAAGGCAAAAGTGAAGGGTGGTGAGAGAACAGTCAGGTCCTGATGACAGCCATGCCTGAAGGCAGCTTAAAGCCTGCTTCTTCATTCAGGGAAGTCAAGGCTCTCTTTCTATGTGTTTTGCTTTGGCCAGCCCAACCCGGGTTTCTGCCACTTGCCATCAAAAGTTCTGATTCTTCCAGAGCAGGAAGGAGCCTTGGAGCAGGCAACCCTTCCATTGGGTGCTGTCCAGCCTTCCAGCACTGCAAAGCCAAAGAATTCAGAGCCAAAACTGCCATCCCCAAGACCACTGCAGGAGAAACGCCCACATGGACTTCTCCCAGCCATCGAGACACGATGAACTGTGTAATTCTTGTGAACGTGGGAACAAGTCTCACCCAGCAAACAGGAGCTTCTATGGTTACAACCACTAGTACTGTCACTGCAGTAACTGCAGCCCGGTCACAGCAATGGGGAAGGGAGGCCAAGCTGCCCCTGACAGTCCACCAAGAGCAACCTGGCATCTGTCCTGCAGCCCAGAGACAAGAGACCGGCCTCCAGAGAGGGGTCAGTTGTGGCCACCAGTGCTGGACCCTGTTCCAGAATTCCCTTTGTCCCAGCTTGTCACAAAGCCCAGCAGACCCTGGTGGTCTGATGCAGCAAAGACAATTCTATCCCAGCCTCTCTCTGGGTTTCCCAGAGAGGCAAGCAAGAGGACGAGGCCAGCGGCTGGGCAGGTAGAAGCCAGCACTGCTTGCCTTTCCTCCAAGAGCACCACGGGCAACTTCCAAATTGCTCTGTGGCTTTATGTTGCCACAAGGTGGTGAGAAGTCTGATGTACCCACAGCTTTTCTGACCTTCTTTGTCTAATGAAATGCCGACTTGGGATGGCAGCCCTGGACAGATGCACACATTGTGCACTGCACATGGGCTCCAGAAGCCAAGAAAACAACACCTTTTCAAACCAGCCCTGGAGAATCCCTGGCCACCCCCCACCCTCCTCAAGCCCAGCCTGGCTGGCTTCCCACTCCATCCATACTCATAGAGCATCCACCACCAAGCTTAGGGGCTGACACCTCTGCCACCCACCGGCCAAAGGCACTCCACCAGCAACCTGGTCCAGCATCTTCATGTGCAGGTTGTCCCCAAGGCCAGGAGACCCTTGGGACCTCACACTTCTTACATTCACCACGAGCTTATTTTAATAAGCTCAATTTCCATTCCTCCCAATCTCAGCCAGATTTTTTTGCCAACTTGAAAAAAAAAAATTTTTTTTTAGGAAAATAGTCTGGCAATTCCTCAAAATGTTAAACATAGAATTACCATATGACCCAGCAATTCCACTCCTAGGCATAGACCCAAAAGAATGGAAAACAGAGATTCAAACAAATCAATGTACACCCACGTATTCACAACACCGCTATTCACTACAGTCAAAGGTGGAAACAACCCAAGTGTCCATCAACGGATGAGCGGATAAATAAATGGAACGTGGTCCATCCCTATGATGGAATATGATTCAGCTCTAAAAAGGAACGAAACACGGACACCCACCATAACGTGGATGGACCCTGTGAACAGGATACTGAGTGACAGAAGCCAGACACGAAAGGACAAACACTGGATGATTCCACTGATGTGAAATGTCCAGAACAGTAAATCCACAGAGACAAAACAGATTGGTGGTTGCCAGGGGCAACGGGTGGGATGGAGGGTGGGGAGGGTGCTGATACATGTAAGGGTTACCAGGCAAGTTTTAAAACTAGATAATGGTGGTGTCTGCATAACATTGAGGGATTAAGTTTTGACTTCACCAGCAATGTTGGGAGGTGCAGAACAAGAAAAAGTATGATATTGCTTCACCAAAGACAAGGGTGCAGGGAGGACTTTCCTGGTGGTCTAGTGGCCAGGACTCCACGATCCCAATGCAGGGGGCCCAGGTTCAATCCCTGGTCAGAGAACTAGATCCCACATGGCGCAACTAAGAGTTTGCATGCCACAACTAAAGATCCCACGTGCTACAACAAAGTTCAAAGATCCTGCGTGCTCCACCCAAGACCTGCTTTATTTGCTGCTCCACCGCAGCCAAATAAATTCACATAAAGGCAAGAGGAGGAGAGGATGAGAGAGACCCATGGGGCAACGTAGGGGGTCTCCTGAATCTAGCCTTCGCTGAACAGGGTTCTGAGAACAGGATCCAGGTTAGATCAGGAAAGCGATGCAGTGGCCGCAACATCAGTGCAGGTCTGGGGCTCTGGGGTCAGGAGAGGATGGTGGGCATCCATTGTTCTCCAGACACTTTGGGGTCCCCACTCAGAGCTCAGCCCCAAGCTACTGAATGAGGCAGGGTCCAGGCCACAGATGGTTTTGGCGCTCCGGCAGGGTGCAGCAGGGAGCAAACAAGCAGTAAACAGTGACCTCAGAGTGCAGGTTGGGGGCTCTGCAAGCCTTGAGGAGGGCAAGAGGGAGCCAGGGAGAACCTCCTGGAGAGTGAACAAGACACAGCCGGGGGAGGGGGAAGTAGACAGGGCTCTAGGCAGAGGCCACCACCTAAGCAAGGACCCAGAGACGAGACCAGGCACTGTGTGCTTGAGAAATTCCTTGAGTCATTCAAGGCACATGGGCCATGGAAAGGGTGGATTTTGTTTGAAGGGCAATGGGGAGCTACAGAAGGTGGTTGATGGAGAGAGGAAAGGGCCAGAGTGTTTGACAAGCAGGCGCTGTGAAGAGCAAGCACAGAACCAGGAGGCCGGGGGTGGGGGGCGTTATCACAAGATATGTGAGATGATGATGCTGGTGGGATCAGGGCAACAGGGACAAAGAAGCAGAAGCAGCCTGTGTGGTTGGGAAGGAGACTGCCGGCCTCAGAAACACCTTGCTCTGGGGGTGAAGAAGGCCATGCACTCCCCCAGGGATGGGGGCCGTGGTTCCCCTCCTCTGGCAAGACGCCTGGGGGCTCTGATCCTCTATTTCCTCAATGGCAGGCAGGAAGCATGCGTGTTCCTGCTCCACGGACCCAGGAGGATAGCACGCTTGTGAAGTGATGCCTGGTGAACAGAAGGTGCTCAATAAAGCAAACTCAGCCAGGTCAGTGTTCCAGGGAGAAGAGGGGGCACTCTGGTGAGGTTAAGGGCTTGCTTCAACAGGCGGCGTAGGACACTCCTGAGCCCCATGGGATGGGGACACCGCAAGCCCCGCTGGGCCTCGCACATCCAAACCACAAACCACGGCAGAGGGGGGGCACCTGCCCTGCTGCCCTGCGGAATCAGCCTGAGGAGGGCTGCAAACTGGGGGCTCCCATGCACACAGCAGGGACCCCCACCACGCCTGCCCCAGAGGAGACACCCGGCCAGGGCCAGGCAGCCGCCTCGGGAGAGCCCTATAGGCTGTGGCTCTGATTTGGCAGCACCCCCACAATGCTGCCAACCCCATGTCCCGCATCCACAGAGAGAACTCACCGCTGCCTCGGATTCTGTGTCTGCCTTGCCCCCTGCGGCCTCCTAGGAGCCTAGCACAGCACCACGCACACAGCAGGTGCTCAATGAATGAACCTCTGGAGAGAAGATGAACGCCAGTAACACAAGGTGAGGACAGAGCCCACCACACCTGCCTCCCCAGTCCCCAAGCCTGCTGGGGAGAGGTCTCTTTCTT